CAGGGGCTGGAGGAGCTCAGGGGAGGAAGGGCACCGCGTATCGCGGGGGGCTGGTCGGTGCGTGAGAGTGGGGTCTGGGCCGTGGCCCGGGGGCCCCGTCCTTCTCGGGGGCTTTGTGTTTGCAGGGGGGTCCATGGCCTCGGGTTGCTTGTACCCGGCAGATTCGCTTGTTTGTTTGGAGCGTGCAGTGGGGGGCCCGCGGAGCTCCTCCCCCGTGATGGCGGCGTCTCCTGGGGTCCGCGGAGCAGAGCTGTCTCCAGGTCCCCTCAGGACTGGCCACCCGGTCACCACGTGTCGCCCTGAGGGCCTTGGGGGTGCTGTCCTGAGGCTCCCCCGTCCCAGCACGCCCAGCCACCTGGCCCAGGCCCTTGCCTCCTGCTCGGCGGGGCCTCTCGGGGCAGGAGGGCCGTCGCTTCCCTTCATCCTCCGAAGGGGCACCTGCAGCCCCTGGAGGGGCGAGGTCGTCGTGCTCCTCGGTTCCTCAGTGGAGCAGAGTTGTGTGCTGAAAACCAACTTCTCCCCTTTGGTGCTTGTTTGGTTCTGCCTTTCCCGCTTGTGTCTATGTCAGTCCTTCTTTCTTTCTTTTTTTTTTTTAATTTTTATTTATTTATGATAGTCACACACGGGGAGAGAGAGAGGGAGAGAGAGAGAGAGGCAGACACAGGCAGAGGGAGAAGCAGGCTCCATGCACCGGGAGCCCGACGTGGCACTCGATCCTGGGTCTCCAGGATCGCGCCCTGGGCCAAAGGCAGGCGCCAAACTGCTGCACCACCCAGGGATCCCTACGTTGGTCCTTCTTATAGGGGTTTTTTCCTATCTTGTTTTCTGTTGTTCGGAAGTTCCTGTGGCCGTTCAGCGGTCTGCTCCCCCGCCCAGGAACGTACTGCAGACCTAGGGATCGCGCCCAGGTATCTTGGGAAGAGTTCTGCGCGGTCCATACTGAAAACCCACGGGCAGAGGGGCCTGCCTGGGTCTCAGCACGGCTCTGGGGATGGCGGCGGAGGGCCTGCCGGGAGGTCGAGCAGCATGCCCTGAGTCTGGGGCCCAGGCCGTGGCCGTGCTGCCGCGCAGGGGTCTGGGCATGGGCCCTGCTGGAGCGGGGTGGGGGCGCCCCAACTGATTCACAGCAGCCGGTTATGGAGCTCACCTCAGCCGGAAGTGCCTGGCCCCCCAACCAGAGAGCCCAGGAGTGAGCCAGCGGCTGGGGGGGGGTCGGCCCCATGGGGGAGGCGGGCAGCTCTTGCAGGATCCCTCCCAGGGCTCGGAGCATCAAACAGCCGTTTTATGGCAGGCTCATTTCTGGGGATCAGAGTTCAGGCAGGGTGAGGTGTCGTGTCTGCGGTGACGTGGTCAGTGGGGTTGGGTGTATCCCACAGCACCCCCAGCCGGCTGCCACCCGAGAACGGGGCTGCACGCTTGGAGCGTGTCAGCCTTCCCTGTGCCCTCCAGCGTTCTGCTCTAGGATACTCCTCACTCATCACGCCCTATGTTTTGGGGCTCAGGTGAGGGTCCTAAGGAAGAACAGCTGGGGTCTCTTCACACGTGTCCATGGGGAATAATGGTCAAGGGATAGTGATGGGAAGAGGTGAATGACTGGGAAGTAGGTGCGAGTGCCGGGTGGTGAGACCGTGAAGGGGAAAAGATGATATGAGGTTGATATTGGTTGAATGTAGTGGGAAGTGTGATAAATATATGGGGTTATGGATGAGTTAAAGGGGAAAGTTGAAATGAATGATTGAAATAAATTTGGGGGTGGGATATGTAGATAAGGAAATATTGTTGGTATTTGTGGGAAAAAATGTGGGATTTATGAATATGAAGATGTGAGAGGGGAAGAGTTAAGATATGAAATAGAGGGTGGAAGAGTGGATGTGAGATGGGAGGGGGTTTGGGTAAGGGGGGAAAAATAAGGAGAGTAGGGGATGTTTAGAGAAGAGATAAAAGAGATAGAGAAGATAAAATATAGAAAAATAAGAAAACGATTGTTTAGGGTGGGGGGGTTTGTTGGGTTGTGTAGGAGGTGGGTGGTGTAGTATGTATTTTTTTTAGAATGATGTTGTAAGTGGTATGTGAATTAAGTAATTTATATAGATAATAGTTAATAGATGGGATTTGTTTGTTGAGGGTTTTTTTATATTGTTTTATAAAGGAAGAAAATAGGGTATTTTTGATAAGAAAGTTAAGTGAAGGGAAAGAAATAAAAAGAGGAGGTTGATGAAGGAAGGAAGAGGAATATATGAGGAGGAGGGTTGGGTTAGTAAGAGTTAATTGAGGAGAGGTGGGAATTATAAAGAAGGAAGTAGATACGTAAATTCGGAATAGAATGAGCATGATAATGAGTAAATAAAAAAAAAAACATGATAAGTAAGTTGCAATTATTAGTGGAGGAAACCCTGGTGCTGTGTATGCTTTAGGAGCTGCACTTCCCTTGTCCTCGGCCCGCGGTCCTTGGTAGGGGTGCCCTGTGCACAGACCGCTGCTGTGTTGGGCTCAGCACCACTGCGGGCCACCCTCCAGGTCCCTGAGAACGAGTGTCCAGGTGCCTGGGCCACAAGAGCCTGGCGCATCTCCCGTTGACCTTCAGGGTGTGGCGGCTGCCCTTCCCCTGGTGCCTCTGAGCCTCCCCAGAACCCTCTCGAGGGCGAGCCTGACCCAAGGGAGGCTGTGCAGGGAGCCAAGCTGGCCTGGCCGCCGCTGGTCTGCACCGCTGCGGGGCTGTCAGGGTCCCCTGTGTGCCCCGAGCCCGGTGGCAGAGACGGTGGGTGTGGCGGGCTGTGTCTGCAGCTGGGGACCACAGGCTCTGTAGCAGTTGTCACAAGATGCCACTTAGGCACCTGGAACCCCCTCGGGGCCTCCCCTGGTCCTGATGGTGGGTTCTGGCCTTGGGGGCGGGCAGAGAAGCAAGGGTATGCTCCCCGAGGCCCTGAGCTGGTCTGGGGGACGGGCCTGGCCTGGGCCCTGGTGCTGCTGTCACCCACCCCAAGGCGCCCAGCCTGCTGCCAGCTGCTCGCCCGCCCTCGTCCTGTGGGCCGTGTGTCCCTGTTCTCGCCTGCTTGGCCCCCGGGGCAGCCGGTCGGGGGCCCCTGGTCTGCGCCGCGGGTGTGCAGAGCCCTGCTTTTCCGGGGGTGTCTGGAGGTGCACTGCAGGGGCGGGGGGGTGGTGTCCTGCAGACTGCGGGGACTCTGTGCCTGAGGACCAGGGTCTGGGCTGGGGGGGAGCGGTCCCTGCTGTGTTTCACGATCTTTTTAAGTTTTCCTTGTTTTTGTTTTTATTTTTCTTCAAGATTTTATGTTTGAGAGAGCGCGCCCCAGGGGCCCAGGGGAGGGGCAGAGGGAGAGGGAGGAGCTCCCTGCTGAGCGGGGACACCCCCACCCCGGGGCTCCATCCCAGGACCCGGGCTGTCACCCCGAGCCTTCCAGGCGCCACGTAACTTCTCCGTGTTTTAAAATGCGGGTACGGATCTTCCCCAAGGCGTCCAGTCCCTGTCCGGGTCTCCGTCCCGAGCGGGCCGCGCTCTGCTGCCCCCTGGCGGCCACCGTGCCCCCTGCGCGGCACTCGGTGGGCGGCCAGCTGTGTGGGGACCTGCACCCCGCCGCTGGGGTGCGCCTGCCTTCCCGGGGGGCCTGCCGTCTCTGGCTCCAGGGCCAACCCAGCTTGGGGCGATGGGGGCGCACGGGGGCCGGGGGGCGGTGACTGCCTGCTGGGACCCCGTGACCGCGGCCTGAGGGGCAGGGGACCTGGGCTCCTGGGGCTCCATGGCTGGTGCTGCGGACAGCTGGCTGGAGGCTGGCTGGCACTGGGGACCCGCCCCGACCCCCCCCCCCCCCGGGCCGCTGTGTGCACGGGGAGCTGCGGTGGGCGAGGCTGGAGGGGAGCTTGGGGCTTGGCCTCATGGCCCCCCACCCACACCCTGTACCTATCTGGCTGTGCTGACCCACTTTCGGTGGGCAGGGCTCCCACAGTGCCTGCAGCATGGGGAGCGGGGGTTGGGGAGACATGGAAACCCAATCCCGCCTTGTTCCTGGCCTGGAAAAAAACTTAGTCTCCCACCCTCCCTACATTGAGGGAAAAAACAGGCAGGAGGAAGAGCCACCTCACAGGCCTTTGGCTCCTGCCCGGTCAGGGGGAGTAGGGCTCTGGCGGGGGTGCCTCGCTCAGGGGCTCCTGCTCCCGAGTACTTTACTGCGCCCAGGAGTGAGAGGTAGGGGCTGTTTTCCCCATCAGTCCTGGTTCCGGGACACCCGCTTCCCCCACCCTGTGAGGGAAGAATCTGTTTTCCAGGTTCGGGTGTGAATGTTCAGGGCACCCACTCACTGACCCTGGGGACACAGTGTGTAGGGTGGGGGCACTCTGCAGGTCGGGTCCCTCTCCGGGCCTGTGGCCGCCTTGGGGAGAGGCTGGCAGTGGGCCCATGGAGGTGGCCTACAGCAGGTGCCACATGCTGCTCTCCGGAGGGGCTGGGTCACGTGTGGTACCCCCTGTCCTGCCCTAACTGGCTGCCACTAAGCAGCCACCCCCGTTCTGCTCCCCGACCCTGGGCTCTCCGGGGCCTGGCAGCACTGGGTATGGGCCGTTGGGCCAGGACCCTGCAGCCGGTTTTTTCGTTAAAGGGTGCGGGGGTGGCTGGGCCCTGAGCGGGTGGCTTTGTTGCCAACCGGTCCTATTCCCGTCAGGCGCAGGTGTCAGCCCTCCCCAGGCTCCTTCCTTGGAGCTGGAACATAGTGGTGGGCCTGGCCCTTGACAGAGCACCCCAGGTGGGGGCGGCGAGGCCCACGTAGACCCGGGGTGTCCCTGGTCTTGTCTAAGGCCCGGGGCCAGGTTGGAGCTGGTGAGAGATTGGGGGTGGCGGGAACCTTGGCCTCAGCTTCGGCGAGAGGGACAATTTGGTCTCCCTGAGCCTCCATGCTCCAGGAGGGGCCGGGGGAGCACGGGGTGGGCTCCGGCCGAGGTTGGAGGGTGTCGCTGTGCCGGCATAACCGTTGTCCCCTTCTCTCCTGCAGGCTGCGACCCCGAGCCCCAGCACAGAGGTGGCGAGAGTGCAGGACTGTGAAGAGTATGCGGTGGACAGCTCTGACGAGGAGGTGGGGCTCGCCTCTTCCACAAGGGGTGGGGGGCCTTCCCCAGGTGGGCTTGCTGCCCCTGGCAGGGAGGAGTCAGGCTGCTGTGAGGGGCCGTGCTCTGCGCTGGAAGGGCGATTTCGATGTAGGGGTTGGGGACACATGTCTGCTGGAGCATGTGTCATCGCTGGGGAAGGGAGTGGGGTGGACGTGACACGGTGGACCCCCAGGTGCTCCGTGGAGGCTGTGCTCCTGCTCGGTGGGCACGGAGAGGCTGGGGCAGGGCCAGCTTCCGTCTCAGCCAGGGTTGACAGGCCCCAGTGGCAAGGGCAGCCTCGTGCAGGGGAGGGGTGGCCTCTGGGTATTGCCCCTCCCCTCACTGGTGTTCTCGAGGTGTGGACTGACCCGGGGGCCCCTTCAGGTTTATGGCCTGAGGAGACAGCATGGGGGTGGGCGCGAGGGCCCCAGGTGGCCTCCAGAGCCCCTGGTGTGTGGGCCATGAGCTGCATCTCAGCTCTTGGGCTTGCCTGGCTGGGGAGGGCTGGAAGCCGGGGTGCTCTGAGCCCCGAGGGCCCGTCTCCTCCTGCCTGTCCCCTCCCAGGTGTGCCCAGGTCACTGGCAGGGTGCGTGCCCCCCAGGGTGCGGCTCCTAGGGCGCGGGCCGTGGGGCTGGAGGAGGCCGGCTTTGGTGCCGGGCTCTCGGGGACAGCGGTCCTCCAGGGCTCTTCCTGCTGCCTGGCAGGGGCATCCCGGGGCCTGGGGAGGCCCGCGCCCCCTCCCCTGTCCGGCCTCCACCCCCACGCTCGCGCTCTCTTGGCAGCGGCTGCAGGAGCCTTGGCCGCCAGCCCGATCTGGTCTCTGTGCGTTCAGAGAACAGAGACAAAACAAAATAAATTGGTTTCCTGGCCGGAGCAGCGGGTGCGCACGGGGAGGGGGGCAGCACAGTGCGGCTCCCTGCCTGTCTCCCCCCTCCCAGGGGCTCTGGCTGTCGGCAGCCACATCCTGTCGGCTACTTTTTTATATTTGGTATTTTGAGAAATCGATGATGGTTGTAAATGGAGTGCAGAGGCGGGGGAGGGGCCGGGCTGCCCACGGGGAGGCTCCTCCTGCCTGTGGCTGCGTGGGGCTGCGGGGGCCGCTTCCTCTGGCAATGACTATCCCATATGTGTGAGTGACAGGGGGGCCCTGCTGCCGTCCCCCGCTTCTGCCAGCGCAGCTGCCGGCTCGAGGGGGTGGCACAGCTCATCTTTCAGGGGCTGCGCCAGGCCTGGCAGATGCTTCCCTCCCCGAGAAGCACGTGGGCACCGCGTCGTCCACCCTGACGGGCAGGGGTGGGCAGCTCGGGGCAGAGGTGGGGGGCCGCGGGGTACCTGCTGCACAGCATGGGGCTCAGGGCCCCCGGAGGCCACGGTGTGGGAACGCCCCTGCCGTCGGGGCATCCCCTTCTCCCAGGGTCCTCGGAGGTGGCAGGTGGGGTCTGGATCCCACTGAGGCTCTGGCCAGCAGCGGAGGTGTCCTGGCGGGGTTGGTGCTCCCGGGGCAGCGAACCCTATGGAGGCTGTGGCTGGGCAGCCCCGGGGTGGGATGGAGGTGCCCCCGGGCCCCCCTGCCCCCTTCCCCCTCCCCACCTCTGCATCTGAGGCCTGGGGGAGGCTGGGGCTTCTGGACTGCTGGCCTCTTGGGGGAGCCCCACCCCAGACGTAGACTGGGATCGTCGGGCTCCTGCTTCCAAACATCGGCCTTCCTCAGTCCCCAGATTCATCTCCTGAGCTCCATGGGGGCCCTGGTCCCCAGGATGTGCTGCTGGGTCTGGCGGGGGTCCTGCAGTGGGGGGAGCCCGGCCGCCGCAGGCTGTGTGCACCCCACCCCCGCGATGTCCACCTCACTTCTCTCCCACGGCACCGGCACCTCACAGACGTGATCTCATCCAGCCGCCGGACCCCAGGGAGGTGGGGCGGGGGGAGGGGGGGGCGCTGGTGGCCTCCGCAGCCCAGGCCCCCCTTTGTTTCCAGCAGCTGGGAGAAACTGAGGCTGGCAGTAAGTGAGAGGTGAGGGGTGGCCGTGAACTCTGGTTGCAGGGCTGGGAGGCACCCCGTGTGTCGTTCCCCCCCCCACCGCGGGCCAGGCCCCGGTGGGGGCGGGGCGCAGCGCTGGTGGCTCCTCAGGCCCCGCCGCCGCCCTAACCGGGCCCGCGGGACGGCCCAGGCCTGTCTGTGCGGAGCCCGCGATCCCTCTGCTCTCTCGCCAAACGGCCGTTAATGGCCTCTCCCAGCTACTGAACCGGCAGCTGCCTCCAGCCTGGCCGCCTCCCGCGCCTCCGCTCCTCCGGCCCCTCGGCCGCCCCGCCCCGCCCGAGCGCTTGCGTCGCTGCTGGCAGCGGGAGCGGCGGCTCAGGTTTCGGGCTGTTTGTGGGGAGCGCTGAGCGCCGGGCGCCCGGCCTGCTCTTGTGGGCCCAACGCCCCCGCGGCCCACGAGCCTCCCGCCGGCCTGACCCAGGCCTCGCAGGTGGCCGCCGCGCAGTGGGCGTGCTGCCCGTGACCGCAGCGCCCTGTGGGCCTTCCCTCCAGCTCAGCCCGGCCGCGGGCTTGGGCCCCGAGGCCCGCCCTCCCCCGCCCTGTGCCCGCCTGAGCTCCAGGCCGCGAGAGGTGGGGGTGCCCCTGGCTCTGGTGGCAGCGGTTGCAGGGGGTGTGCCGCGCTGGAAGCAGCTCCCTCCTATGGGACAGCAGGGTCTGGGGGCTGGGGCCGCGCAGCCGCCGGCAGGTGAAGGGAAGGCCCGACTCGGAGCCACGTCCCCCCTGGGGCACGTGGGTGGTGGAGGCCCCAGCCTGCTGCCGTGTGCCCACTTGGAGCCAGTCTCCTTGGCAGTAGGAACCCAGGCAGGCAGGTGGGTGGGACGGGGCCTCGTGAGGAGGAGGGTTTGCCCTGGGGCTGGGGCTGGGGCCAGGGCTGCTCCTCCGATGCAGGGCTGCCTGGGGAGGGCAAGTTCTTGGGAACGGTGGGTGAGGAATAGCGCCTGCGCCAAGGACGGGGCCGGGGGTTGGCGGGAGCCCTGCGGAGTGAGCTTGTGGAGCGCCTCCGGGGCAGGTGTGCAGCCCTGGGGCCAGGCCCAGCGGGAAGCGCAGCGGCTGTTGGAAGCGTGGGTCTCACGGCAGGTCTCCACCACGCAGCAGGGCCGTGGGCTTGTGCGCGCACCCCGCACTCCAGAGGGGTTTCTGGGAGCCCCTGCCTGTCCGTGGCCAAGAGTCAGGGGGCCCCATGTGGGAATGCGCACTGCACCCTGGCCAGCCCCAGGAGACGGGTGGGTGGGCGGGGGCCCTGGGGGAACTGAGGACCCGGGAGCTGGGGCAGCCTGGCCGTGCTCTCCCCATCCCCATGGAGGGACACGTGTGATGCCTCGGGTGGGACTGGCTGGCGGCACTTCCAAGGGGGACACACAGATGGAGGGACGGTGTCTGGGTTGCCTTCTGCAGAAGTGTCCTGCTACCTGACTTCGCAGACGGAAGCGGCGGTCTGATGGAGGAGGTTTGGGAAGGTAGCCTTGAGCGTCCCACCTGGCCCCCTGGCTCAGCCAGCTGGCCCGTGGCCCTGTCCCCTGCTGGGGTCCCCCCACCTGGTTTTGGCTTTTGCCATGGGAAGAGGCCAAGCAGGACCTGGCTTTCTCCCCTCTGGTCTGTGAACCAGGACTCATCCTCCGGGAACCTTCTATGGGTTCAGATGCAGCAGGTGAGCCTGGGGCACGCGGCCCAGCCTCCTCCAGGCCTGGAACTCTGACAGAGATTAAACGCAGAGGAGCGAGGAGAGGCTGAGCTCAGGAAGGCCGAGTGGCGCTCCGAGACAGGCGGGAGCTTCAGCTTCGTGCAGGGGGAGCAGCGCGAACACTGCCGGCATTGTAATCGGAGAGGGGCCAGGGAAAAGAGAGCGCCTGAGCGAGGGCGGCTGACCCCACGCTCCCAGGGGACAGGTGGGAGAGGCAGAACGAGGAGAGAGTGAAGGATTCCAGAGGTGGGCCGGCTTCCTCTCTCGCAGACAGACACGGGAGGGAGGTGGGCAGCGGGCCAGCTCCGTACCTGCAGTTCCAATCTGCGGTCCTGACAGCTGCAGCCACTTTGGGGAGGGGGAGGGGAGGGGCTCATCGAGAGCGGAAAAATCCCAGCCGACACATCAGCCAGTTGTTGCTCGCTGCCTATGTCCGGTGGAGTCTGGGGGGTGGGGACCCCTGCTGGCCTCATCCCCTGGCTTGTCCTTGGGGCACCACGGCCCCCCAGGAGAGCGGGGAGGGGGGCGTCTGCGTCCTCCGCCTGTGCCTCTGAGCTCCGTACCTGACCTGGAGGGGTCGGTGGGTGCTTGCCCTCACGGGGTCACATGTGCTTCCTGGCAGCCCACAGGTGCCGAGCAGGGTGGGGGCCGGCTGGCCTGCGGGCGCGGGCCTGGTGATGAATCATGTGGTGCCGCCAGCAGCTCATTCCCGGGCCGGGGACAGGGAGCTGACAGCCGGGGCCGCTCAGAGTGTTTCCAGCCCAGCTTGGCCCGCAGAGGCGGCTGCTGGCCCAGGGCGCGGGCCTGGCCCCACCTTTCCAGCTGCCTCTGGGCCCCACTGCGCTCGCACTGGGGAGCCCCAGGTCTTTGTCCTCCCCCTGGAAGGTGAGGCCAGCGTGCTGGGGAAGAAGCAGGGCCCGCGTGGGCAGGGAGCACCTGCCACCCCCAACCCAGTGGCCGTGAGGAGCCCAGGGGACTCCAGCCGGGCTCAGGCCTCCCGCCACCCCCAGTCTGGTTTGAATTTCTGGAGCAGTGAAGGGTGACGGAGTGCTCCTCTCCCGCCCCCTCCGCTCCCTCCCGCTGGCTGGCGGGCCAGGCCCTTGCCGCCGTGCTGCTACCGGAGCAGCTCAGGGAGCACCGGGCCCGCTGCCCAGGCCTGAGTTGGCCAAGCTGCAGCCACTACTGGGAGTCACAGGCCCGGCAGCGGAGAACTCGGCCCATGCGCACCGTGCCCCAACGGGCTAGGTCCCGGGGGACCTCCGAGCGGCCTGTCCCCTCCTGCCAGCCCCCCACATTTGCAGAACCCCCGCCAGGGCTCTCCTGACGCCTCCTCAGTCCCGGGACTCCCAGGGCTGCCCCTTCCTCGCAGTCTCCTCAGGCCTCACATGCTAGCTGCTCCCCATTCTGCCTCTGTCACCTGCCGAGCGGCTCTGTGACCACAAGGTGGGTGCCCACTCGGGTGCTCGGCATCTTGGGGGGCTTCGCCATGGAGGTTTGCATCCCCCACCTGGGCTCAGGTGTGCAGATGGGATTCTCCCAGGTGAGGGGTGTGCCACAGACCCTCCCCACAGAACATCCCCTGGTGCCTGGTGAGGCAAGGAGGCGGACGCAGGTCCTGGGGTGCACCTGCCTCCCCGGACACCCCCCCCCCGGGCCTCTTTCAGCCCCCATCTGGGGGCGGGTGGGTGGGGTGGGGGCTTGCCCTCTTCCCCCCTTCCTCTGGCCAGCTGGAGGCTCCTGCAGGATTAGGGAAAGGAAGTTTGGGGTTGGGTTTCCCTCTGAATGGAACCTGCCGTGGCGACTTTTTATCCTGTTATATTTCTATCACGTTGGACACGGCCCCCACTCTGGCCCTTAATGGCTCTGGCTTTGAGAGTTTCCTCCAAAATTACACCACTGCTTCCTGCTCCACAGTTCCCCAGAGCCCCTCTGTGCAGAGGAGGGGGGCAGCTCTGGCCCTGCCCTGTCGGGGTGCCCACGTGGGCTCAGCACCTGGCCTCTCCCTGGGGGCCCAGGAGGGCGTGACAGTGGGGCCCCTGATCCCGGGCTGAGGGCTGGGAGGGCCCAGGGCCGGCACCTGGCACCTTTGGCCATTCCCTGCCCAGTCTGGCCGGAAGTCAGGCTGCTGGCCCGCCTGGCCCGCGGGGGTGGGGTGGGGGTGGGGGCTCACGTAGTGCAGCCCCCCCCCCCCCCGCCGCCTTTCTTCTTTGCTGTACCAGCAGAGCTCAAGCCACTAAACCGTAATTGTCACCTGCGGGATTTTAATGGTCAGCCAGCTGTGCACAGCTTGGGGAGAGGGCCTGGAACTGCCCTCCTCACGAGCAGGTGGGGCCTTTGGGGGAGCTGGGTGGGGCACAGCGGTTGGCAGCCAGGGTTCTGTCCATGTGAGCGGTGCTGCAAGGGGCTGAGTGCAGGGGGGCGGCAGGGGGCAGGTAGGTCCTGTCTTCCAGCTCGAAGGGGTGGGGGAGCCAGGGCACCTCGGTGGAGGTGAGACCCAGAGCCCTGTTTGGGGGCCCAGAATGGGCACCCAGGGGTGCATGTGGGGGGCTTCCGTGTGGCCTGCACCCTTAGGCCCACCAAGCTTGGAAACTTGCTGTGCCAGGCCGGGCCCCTCACTCAGCCTCCCCCAGGGTTTCCACTTCTTGGGTCTCTGCACAAACACTGAGGCCCCGAGGCTTGGCATGATGGTGCTGCATGCTCTGCCCTCCTCGCCCCTTCAGGGATGCCTGGGTGCCACGCGGGCCTCTGGGGTGGAGGCCAGACTGCTCCATCCCTTGCTGTGTGGCAAGGGCCTTCCTCTGTCCTTCCTTTGCCCTCCTGTCCCTCACTGGTCTCCTTCAGCCCCCAGTCCGGGAGGTGCGTCACTCTGCCTCAGGCCTGGGAGGGGTGGCCTAGGCCCTGGAGGGCAGAGGCTTCCCTGAGAGCTGGTGCCGCAGGAGGCCCCGAGATGGGAGGACACAGCCGGGAGAGCCCGCCCCAGGGGCTGCTGGGCTCAGGCCGGGTCCTGAACCGCTCAAGAGGACAGTGTGCTCCACGCTTGGACGATACTGTTTTGTTTTTAATTATACAAAGTTTCCAGGCTTTATATTATCATATCAAAGACACAAGGTACCAGCACGTAGTGACCAGAAGAAACCCCAGGTAGGAAGCCAGCACAGAAGGTTCCAGTGGGCCCGGCCCGTTGGGCCAGTGCAGAGTCCTGTCGCCGCTTGTCTGTCCGCTGGCCCCCCGTCACCAGAGGCGGGGCCGGCCGGGTGGGCGCTCTCCCAGGAGGCCTGTGCCCCAGTCAGGTCCGTGGGGGCTCTGTGGGTAGCCCGGCGGCGTCGCCTCTAACTCCGAATCGTCGTCTTTCTGTCTCGGTCCTTGCTCTGCGGAGGGAGGGGGCAGCGTCAGAGCCTGGGCTCCGACAGCGCCAGCCTCCCCGCTGGGTGCTGTCTCAGCTGGCGGGTGCTGAACGCACCCCTTCCACGCTCACCCCGGCTTCCCCATGCAGTTTGGGGAGGAGAGTACACTGCTGCACGGCTGAAATTGTAAAATTAAATTTCCCAGATGTTCAGGCCCCAGGAGCTCCCGCGTGCTGTCTGGAGAGGAAATGGGGATCGGGAAAAGCCGCACCGCATTTTCTCCTGCTCACCCTGCTTTTCCGGTGCCACCAAGCCCGGCAGGAGCTGTAAATCACAGCTGGCCAGTGCTCCCGCAACATGGCCCTCTCCCCAGCCCCCACCACCCCACCGGCGGGCCCCACAGGCGCACCCGGCTGTGAGTGGGCAGCCCCAGGGCACAGGCCGGGGCCGGAGAGGGCCGGCAGGTGCCTGGGGTGCCTCAGGCCTGGGCCAGGGGTCCCGTTCCTTCGGGGACACGGTGGGGGGGCCCAGAGCTGCCTGCACCAGGCCTGGCCCGGTCCCCCAGCCTCTTCCCGCTTGGGGTCTCCCTGCCCCCCGGCCTCCTGGCCAGTCCTGGGTGGCCCCCTTCCGTCCACGGGTCCCTGGGGACCCGAGGGGGGAGCGGGCCCAGCAGGGCCGGGCCTGGCTGCTGCGGCGCGGCGGCCTCCTCCCTCCATGGCCCGGGGCTCGCAGGTGCGGCAGCGGGGGCGGGGGGCGGGGGGCCGGGGCCCTGCTCGGCAGGTGTGGGTGGCCAGGGTGGCGCGGACCCGTGCACGACACGTGCACGCCTGGGCGACACTCACCAACTTTCTCTGGTTGCTGAGGCAGAAGGTACAGATCTGTTTGGGCTGCGCGTTCTCACCGTCGCGGGCGGGGGGTGGCGGCGGGGGGCTGCCGGGGCGCGCGGTGTGGAAGAAGGGCCCGGAGTGGCACGGCTGCCCGTCGCCGCAGGCCTCGCCCACCAGCAGCACGTTGCCCAGGTGCGAGATGTAGCTGGACGCCAGGCGCAGCGTCTCGATCTTGGAGAGCTTGCGGTCCGCGGGCTCCGTGGGGATGAGCGTGCGCAGCGCCGTGAAGGCCGTGTTCACGCTGTTGGTGCGGTCCCGCTCGCGCGCGTTGGCTGTGTGCCGCTGCCGGGGCTCCCTGCCCGGCCGCCCCCCGGGCCCCGCGGCGCCGCCCCCCGCCCGCCTGCCCCCGGCCCGCCTCCGGGCGCCCTGGAGGCCGCAGCGCGCGGCGTGCACGCGGCAGGGCTTCTCGTCCGAGCCGGAGCTCTCGCTGCCGCGGTCCTCGTCCTCCGACAGCGCGCTCACCTCGGGGTACAGGTAGCGGCCCGGCGGCGCCGAGTGCAGCATGGCGAGGGACACGGCGCCCGCCGTCAGCTCCGCCTCGCGCCGTGCATGTCGCCGGCCGCGCGGCCGTCCGGGGCCGGGGAGGCGCGGGTCTCGGTGGCCAGCGGTGGCGGCTGCGGCGCCGCGCGCACGTGTGCGTCCCGGGCTGGAGCGGGGCCGCGGGCCGGGCCTTTATAGTGGCGGCGGCCCCTCCCCCGCGCCGGCCCGCCCTCCTCCCCGCCTCCCGGCCCCCGGAGGCCGCAGGGAGCAGGGGCCCTCGTCCCTCTGCCGCCTCACGCCACGACGAAGGGGCCCGAGGCATCTCGCGGCCCGGGCTGGGGGGGCAGGCCCTGGGGGGGTGCCGGCCCCGCAGCCCCCTCCGGCCCCCGCCGGAGCGCCGAGCGGAGGGTCAGGCGGGCGCGACCCAGGCAGGTCCTCTCCTCCTGCTGCCGCCGCTTAACTCAGATACCCTGGCCCCGGTGCCTGGCCACACCCTGTTTGTCTGGCCTCGCTCCTCTGCACACTCGTGCCAGGCGGGGTGCGGAGGGGGCGCAGAGCACGCTGGGGCTCACCCCCCGCCCAAGGCTGCCCCCGACCCCCGCCTGTGCATGGGGGCCCAGGGGGCACAGCCTCCCCGCGGCGGCTACACGCTCCGGGTCCCACACAGGCTGTGCCCTCTGCCTCGGAGACCCTCCCCGTCTCCTCGCTGCAGGCTCTGGGGTCTGTGGTTTGGGGGTGGCCGCGTGGACGGGAATCAGGCCCCCCACCCCGAGCGGAGAAGGAAGGGCCTGGGCGCAGGGGGCGTGCCTGAAGGGCGGGCTTGCTGGGAGGGCGAGAGTTGGCAGGGCTGGGGCGGGCAGGTGCAGAGGGGCAGCGCCAGGGGGTCCTGCACTCCTGCGAGGGGCCCTCAGCTCCCTGCTGCGCTCGGCCGCCTCGGGGCCCCTCCCCCTGTGGCCACCGTTCAGGAAGTGGCCGCCTGGGCAGCAGTCTCTGCGCTGGGCGGAGGGAGGGTGGTGGCTGGCAGGGGCCTCGACCAGGAATGTGTGTCCAGGAATGTGGCAGCTCTAGGGTGGGGGGCAGGATCAGGGAGGGCTGGGGGGTCGAGTGCCTGCCGGGCACGACACAGTGGCTCCTACCTCCCCTTGGACTGGCTTGGCAGGGTCTTTGTTGCGTCCCTGCTTGCGGCTACCCATTTTTGCCTAAGGTCCCCACCAGGGGAGGGAGCCCATGGGCGATGAGGTCACCCTTGTCTGTGGCTGCCCAGAGTCCTGGCCAAGGAATCCAGGGGGGAGGTTCTGGGGTTGGCACCACTTCAGTGGAAAATGTGAAGGTACAGCTCCGGCGCCTCTGAGGGCCAGTTGGGGGGGGATGGGGGACAGCACCGGCCGCTGTGCCACGTCACACCCCAGGGAGAGGGCATGTGTCAGGGTGCCTGGGGGACTGCCCTACCAGCCTTGAGGCCCATCCCTTTGCTCTCCCTCCCCCACCCTTGCCTGTGACTCTTGGGGAGCTTGAAGGAAGGGGTGGGCATGGTGGGTGCCCAGCGCTGACACACTGGCCTGCCACCCAGGACATCCGGAACACGGTGGGCAATGTGCCCCTGGAGTGGTACGACGACTTCCCCCACGTGGGCTATGACCTGGACGGCAGGCGCATCTACAAGCCCCTGCGCACCCGTGACGAGCTGGACCAGTTTCTGGACAAAATGGACAACCCTGATTACTGGTGAGCAGGCCAGGGTGGGGCCCGGGCACGGGGCCTGGGCGCGGGGCGGAGGTGTTAGGTGCTGGGTGCTAGGTGCCGGCTCTGAACGGGTCCCCAGGCGCACAGTACAGGACCAGATGACGGGGCATGATGTGCGGCTGACCGATGAGCAGGTGGCCCTGGTTCGGCGGCTCCAGAGGGGCCAGTTTGGGGACGTGAGCTTCGATCCCTACGAGGTAGGTGGCTTCGCCTTGCCCTGGGCATCTGGGGTTGGCTGCAGGGTCGTGGCCCACACGTCTCTGCTTGTGCCCGTAGCCGGCTGTGGACTTCTTCAGTGGGGACCTGATGATCCACCCGGTGACTAACCGGCCTGCTGACAAGCGCAGCTTCATCCCGTCCCTGGTGGAGAAGGAGAAGGTAGGCGCGGTCACCGTCCAGAGTTCCCAGAGTTCCCGCGTGCGGCCCGTGCTGACCCGCTCTGCGCCCGCAGGTCTCCCGCATGGTGCACGCCATCAAGATGGGCTGGATCCAGCCTCGCCGGCCGCGGGAGCACAGCCCCAGCTTCTACGACCTCTGGGCGCAGGAGGACCCCGACGCGGTGCTGGGCCGACACAAGATGCACGTGCCCGCCCCCAAGCTGGCCCTGCCCGGCCACGCGGAGTCCTACAACCCGCCTCCCGAGTACCTGCCCAGCGAGGAGGAGGTGGGCCTCGCGCGGGCGGCAGGCGCGGGCGGGCCGCGTTGGGGCGCGAGCTCCCGGCTCACCCCTGTGTCCACAGCGCCTGGTGTGGGAGCAGCAGGAGCCAGGGGAGAGGAAGCTCAACTTCTTGCCACGCAAGTTCCCCAGCCTGCGGGCCGTGCCGGCCTATGGCCGCTTCATCCAGGAACGCTTCGAGCGCTGCCTCGACCTCTATCTGTGCCCTCGGCAGCGCAAGATGAGGGTGTGTGTGGGGCGGCGGGGCGCCTGGGCGGGGGCACGGGAGCTGGGGCGGGGTGACCTTGTGCTCTCCTATCCCAGGTGAACGTGAACCCCGAAGACCTCATCCCAAAACTGCCACGGCCGCGGGACCTGCAGCCCTTCCCCACCTGCCAGGCCCTGGTACACGGACGGGGGGACGGGGGGAGGGGGAGCGCTAGGGGGGGTCCATGGCCTCACTGCTCCTTCTCTGTAGGTCTACAAGGGTCACAGTGACCTCGTCCGCTGCCTTAGCGTCTCCCCGGAGGGCCAGTGGCTGGCTTCAGGTGAGCCTGCGGCAGGGACGTTGCCGGCTTGTGGGGGCCGGGGCGGGGGGGTGATGGCTGGGCGTTGAGAGCCTTATTTGCTGTACCCAGGCTCCGACGATGGCTCGGTGCGGCTCTGGGAGGTGGCCACTGCCCGCTGCATGAGGACCGTGCCTGTGGGGGGCGTGGTGAGGAGTATTGCCTGGAACCCTCACCCCACCGTCTGCCTGGTGGCCGTGGCTGTGTAAGTGCGAGGCCCAGGGGGCGCCGGGGCAGCGGGCACAGACCTGAGCCTGACAGTCCGCCGCTCACTCCCGCCTGCAGAGAGGACTCGGTGCTGCTCCTAAACCCAGGCCTGGGGGACCGGCTGGCGGTAGGCGGCACAGACCAGCTGCTGAGCGCCTTCGTCGCCCCCGAGGAGCCCGCCGAGCAGCCTGCCCGCTGGCTGGAGGCCTCCGAGGAGGAGCGGCGGGGGGGCCTGCGGCTGCGCATCTGCCACGGGAAGGTGTGGGGGTTGCGGGGAGCAGTGGTGTAGGCTGGGGTGGGGGGATGGACGGACACTCCCGCTGAGCCGGCGTTGCCTCCCACAGCCGGTGACGCAGGTGACCTGGCACGGGCGCGGGGACTACATGGCCGTGGTGCTGGCCGCCGCGGGCCACACACAGGTGCTCATCCACCAGCTGAGCCGGCGCCGCAGCCAGAGCCCCTTCCGCCGGAGCCATGGGCAGGTGCAGCGGGTGGCCTTCCACCCCGTGCGGCCCTTCCTGCTCGTGGCTTCGCAGCGCAGCGTCCGCGTCTACCACCTGCTGCGCCAGGAGCTCACCAAGAAGCTGAGACCCAACTGCAAGTGGGTGTCCAGCCTGGCGGTGCACCCTGCAGGTGAGGGCTGGGGGGGGGGCAGGGGGGTGAGGAGGGGGCCGGGAGGGAGCGAGCATGTGCGTGTGCGCCGCGGGTCCCACCACCCCGTCTGCCTCCAGGGGACAACATCATCTGCGGCAGCTACGACAGCAAGCTCGTGTGGTTTGACCTGGACCTCTCCTGTGAGCCCTACAGGGTGTTGAGGTGAGTGCCGGCACCGGGGGTGGGGACCCTCCCTGGGGACCCTCCCCCCGCCCTCACCCACCCTTGTACCACAGGCACCACCGGAAGGCCCTCAGGGCCGTGGCCTTCCACACCCGGTACCCACTCTTCGCCTCTGGCTCGGATGACGGGAGTGTCATCGTCTGCCACGGGATGGTATACAAGTGAGTGCGGCCCACGGCCTGCCCGGGGTGGTGGTGGGGGGTCCTGGGGGGGTTCGTGCTCCTGAGTCCCTCCCCTCCCCAGCGACCTGCTGCAGAACCCGCTGCTGGTGCCTGTGAAGCTGCTGCGGGGGCACGCGCTGACCCGAGACCTGGGGGTCCTGGACGTGGCCTTCCACCCCACCCAGCCCTGGATCTTCTCCTCGGGGGCTGACGGCACCGTGCGCCTCTTCACCTAGAGCCGGGCTGTCTCCATGGGGTGCAGGGCTGTGCGCGCGACCCTCAATACACGTGTTCCCCCCCCCCCCCCCCGACCAGTGGTGCGACCTTGATTCAGGGTTTCCGACCCGCTGCCCGTCCCACAAGGAGAGGCTGTGACCTCACACTCCTATGCCGCCTGAGGAGCCAGTGGCTTTATTGGGAAGGGGGGTACAACCACTTGCTCCCCGGCCCGCGCTTGGCCTCCGGCGGCCCCCTCCAGAAGGGCAGGTGTTCGGCCCCTTGCTCCTGGCGGGGGGGGGGGGGGGGGGGGGGGGAGGGTTTGGGCCCAGACCCGCGGTGACTGCTCGCAGGGGTGACGGGTGGTGCTGCCGGGGAGCCTCAGGCGAACTTCACCAGGCGGCCCAGAGTCTCGGCAGCCTTCATGCGCACCAGGGGGGCCGGGTCCTTGAGGAGGAGCTGGAGCGCTGGGGGCAGGGAGCCGCTGCCAGGGGTCGGCTGGGTCCCCCAAGAATACCCCGCCCGCGGGCCTCCGCCAGGCCGGCCCCTCCCCTTCCCTGTCCACCGAGCCTGGGGGACCAGGACCCCATGGTGCACCCCCACCCCGCACGGGGCCACCCGCCCACCACTCTCCTAAGACAGGCCTCTGCCGGGAGCGCCTGGGAGCCAACGGAAAGATAGCTTTTCCTTTTTTAGTGTTTTTTAAGCTCTTTTGGAACAGTTAAGAAGTTTCCGTGAATTACTAGAGACGATGAGGTCACCAGTGACAGGGGAAAAATCCTTGAAATCCAGGAAAATCACTTAGTCCCCCCTGGTGCCCACAGGTCAGTGAGGCCCCGCGCAGGCCGACAGGTTGGGGGCGGGGGCCTGACCGGCTCACCTGCAGTCAGCTGTTCCAGGTCCACCTGTGGCCTCTGCTCGGGCTCCACGTGCAGCACCAGGAACCCTGGGGGGGGGGCGGGGGGTGTCAGGGAAGGCCAGGCTGGGGGCGGGGCCGCGCGCGGGGGCGGGGCTCACCCGTGAGCATGGGGGCGGCCGCGCGGACGTCTTCCCAGCTGCTCTTGAAGTAGAAAAGGCCGGTGCTCACCAGGCGGCCCAGCAGCTCCGGGAAGTGGTGCATCTGCGGGAGCGGGGGCAGCGGGGGGGGGCCTGAGTCCCGCCCCCGCCCGTGCCCCCCACCCACCCCCCACCCCCCCACCGCACCCTCACCAGGAGCTTGCAGGTGGTGTTGAGGAACTCCCCGAAGTGCAGGCCCCGCTCCTCCCGCAGGTGCTTCTGGAGGGCGGCCTCCAGCTCGTCACACTGCAGGTTGGGGCCGCACATGCGCAGTGCAAACCGGCAGGCCTGCGGGACAGCACGCTGAGCCCCCGCCCCAGAGCCAGGCCCGCCCACCCTCCCCGCGGCCCACTCACGCTGGTCACGGGGCCTTGGGGGTCCCGCAGGTGCAGCAGCAGGGGCACCAGCCCGCCCACCACCTGCTCCAGGAACACGTCCTCACAGCGCCCCCGGCAGGCCTTGTTGAGATGCCCGAAGAGGCGGATGGACGCAGAGCGGAGCTCCATCTTCTCCTGATAGGGGGTGGGGAGGGGGGTCACCAGTGCGGGGCTTGGGGGCGTCCCCGCGTCGTGGACACCAGGGGACTGACAGGCTGGCAAGAAGGCCCCTTGGGGGTGGGGTGGGGAGATGGCGCCAACAGAGGGTCAGCAGGGGGCGGGGGGGGGGGTGGCAGGCCGCCTGGGGGGGGGCGGGGGAGGCCCCCACGCCCTGCCTACACTGTCGAAGAAGGGCCGGATCCGGATGGCGACGTGCAGCAGCACTGGGTGCAGGTCCTGGGGCTCCACCAGGTCCAGCAGCCTCGCCAGGCCCACCATGGCCTCCAGGGCCACCAGGCTGTAAGGGTCGTCCCTGTCGTCCAGGCCGCCGATGACAGCCGTCAGGAGCTGGGGGCCGTGCGCCCGCACCTGGGGAGGCCCCACACTCAGCCGCAGGGCACGGAGTGGAGTGGCCGGCCCCCACCCCCCTCTCCCTCCCACACCCACTCACCTTATCTGGGGAGCCGGAGGCCACATTGGCCAGGCCTCGCAGCACCAGCCGCCGCACGCTGGCACAGGTGTCCTTCTGCCGGGCCACCAGGTTGTCCAGCAGTGACTCCAGGAGCATGAGGTCGTTGACCACGTTGCTGTTGAGCAGCTGGAGGCAGACCCGCTGTGAGCACCTGCCCCCCCCCGCTCCCCACCCCGTCCAGGCCATCTCCCGATGGCAGTGCCCGCTTCCCACCACTGCACCGCTGGGCGCCCCTGGCCAGGCTTGCTGTGAGGAGCGGACAGGCCGAGGCCTGTTCCCTCCAAGGTCCTGACCCCGCCACCCTCAGGGCAGGTTTTGGCAGCGTCAGCCACGGAGCAGCGACCAGGGAGGCTTGGAGCCCTGGCCGGCGGCCCGCCCCCCCGAGGGCCCCGCAGACTGCCCAGCTCAGGCCTCCCGTCCCTGGGCCTGGCCTGATGGGCCCTGTGCCCGGCAGTACCGAGCAGGAGCGGGGCAGGGCGCCCCCGGGCCCCCCGGAGCAGGCAGCTCCTACCTCTGCCAGGAAGCCCGTGGAGGTGACCCGCTGGATTTCGTACACGCTGCTCTGCGTGCACACGAGTGCCTTCATCACCAGGGGCAGCCGGGGGCCGGCAAACTTGGCCATGGCGCTAGGGAGGGGGCCCCAGCGTGAGTGCCGGGGCCTCAGGCTCCCGCCTCCCCATCCTGCTCCATGGGAGGCCTGCCGGAAGCACAGGGGCATTCCCACTGGGCCCACCAGCTCCCACGTTCCCCTGGGGTAGCCTGCACAGAACCTGGCCAGCCGGGTGACCCCCTCCTCATGCCCCGTAGATGTCCTGAGCAGCTGCCAGCCTCCCTCCAGCTCCATGCGCTGCACCACGTCCTCATTGCCGCCCCGAAGCAGCATGGCCTGCAGAGCATCGGCTGCGGAGCTGTGGGACACACGGGGATGGATCTGGGGGCGGGGGGCCCGGAGTGCCGCTCACCTTGGTGCCCCACACCCCTGCAGAGACTCCTGCTCTTGGGAGAGATGTCCCCGGGCTGCGGGGCCTGGGCCCTGCCAGTGGCACCCTCCAGGGAGGCCCCTGGGCCCTCCCCTCCGCTGGGCACCTCGAGGGTGCTCTGGACCCTCGGCTCAGGGAGGCTGTTAGTGCTTGTGGCCGCCAGTCCCTGTGACGGGCAGGTGGGGGCTCTGTAAGCAGCGTCCCCAAGCCCTCCAGCACCGTTAGGATAACAGCCTTCAGGGTTTTTCACTTGCCTTGAAAACCTTCATTTAATTAAGAAATGAAAAAAATAGACAGTTGTTAAAAGTGAAACTAAAGTCAGGTCAGAGTCTCGTGCGGGGCCCTTGGACGAGCGGCAGAAGGGACCCAAGGTCAGCGGGCTGCGTGGAGCAGGGTCCGCCAGGGACCCGAGAACTGGCCCTGTGCAGCCAGTTCCTGTACCGCAGAAGGCCCCGCTGTCACCTGTGTACAGCCCACCCAGGGGAGCCCGGACCGGAGGAAGGGATGGCAGGTGGGGCTCCATGGTGGCAGGGACCCCTCCCCGCCGAGGCCAGGCTGTGGCCGGAGCTGCAGTGGCTACAAGCTCAGCCCTGGGTGGGATGGCAGGGTGGCCGTGCCTGCGGCTCGGCCCTGCGGCGCTTGGCTGTCACGTGTCCCTGGCAGGAGGGGCTGGGGCCGCCTGGGGTTGAGCAATGGCCTCGTGCCCAGCTCGGGGCGGTCGGTGGCAGGCAGGCAGCAGGGGCAGGGCCCCCATCCTGGGTGTACGGGGGCGCAGGCATGCGTCTGGCACCTGCAGGGACTCGTACCAGAGCCGGAGCCCAAGCAGTGCTCCCCCGGGCTCTCAGAACGGCGCAGGAGCACCCCTCCCCAGCGGGCGGCCACCTGGCGCTCAGGCCCTGCCCTGGCCAGCAGGCGTGTGCCCCTGGGAGCCCCTGGCCCAAAGGTGGACACCCACCCGGGGCGGCGCACTTGCCCACGACTCAGGCAACAGCCGGGGGGGACGGATCCTCCGGTAGGCTCCTGCCGGGCCGTGGGGGGCGGGTGCTCGTCCTCCGACCCAGGCGGCTGCGGAGGGCACCCCTTGAGCCACCACCACGAGTCCCACGAGACACAGCCTTGGCTGAGGCACGTGCAGTCGGGGAAGGGCGTCTCCTGGCCTGTCCACCTGCTGCCCAGACCCATCCCGGGCGTGGCCGGGAGAGCAGTCTGCGTGCCTGGCCCACAGGCCCCTGCCTGGAGCCGGCTCTGCACCTGCCCTGGCCCAGGGCCCCCAGGGGCTTGGGACCCACAGGCCCCAGAACTCACAGGCCACGGAGTGCTGTCCCCGCGTGCCAGGCCGGGGCTGGTCCGGGGGGGGGTCTCGCCAGTCCCTTACTGCCCGCTCCGGGCACAACCCGGCAGCCGCTGGCACATGGCCCCTCCCTGAGCGGCCAAGGCTCCTGTGGTGGAGCAGCCCCGGGGGACGCGGGCTGACGTGCTCCTGTCCCACCAGGGGTCCCCTCGGGCTCCAGTGGCCCCGTGGCCCTGCAGTCGTTCGGAGTCCCGCCGCCACGGGGCCGACACTGGGCTGCCAAGCGCTCCCAGCCCGCAGCTGCACCTGCCGTCCTAGTCTCCCGCCCCACAGCCCCACAGCGAGAATCCCAAAGCCCTAGCAGAGCTGCGGCCAGCGGGGTCCGACCTGGGAGGCGTAGTGCGCCCGAGGATGGCGCCCCATGGGGTGTAGACGGGGCAAGGACCAGGAGCCCCAGGCCCCACCCGCACCCCAAGCCCTCCCCTCCGCTCCATCTTGTGAAGGTGGCACAGCCGAGTGTCCCGTGCCACCCCCGCAGGCCACCCCGCAGGCTGGCAGCTGCCTCCGCCCCACGGTCCCATCCCAGACCCACCGGAGGACGGGAGGAGCTCAGTCAGGCAGGGAGGCTGCATCCCCAGCACCGACGTGTGACCCGAGGTGCCAGTACCAGCTCCCCAGGCACACCCAAGATGCTGAGCCAAGGCCCCAGTACCCAGCCCAGCCTTCCCGTCCTGTCCCTCACGGCCAGGGAGCCAGACACGCGTGTGCTCGCACGCACGCACGCACACGCACGTGCTCCTGCAACCGTGCTGGGGCAGGAGGCGAGGACCCGGTTACCTGCAGGGCTCCAGGCTCCTCAGGGCCACAGCAGAGCCCGCACCCTTCCTCTCCTTGGCCTGCAGGTTCCGGGGCAGCACGACGCCCACGGTGCAGCTAATGCGCAGCAGGAGCGCCGCGAACAGCTGCGGGTAGAGCTCGAGCACCGCGGGCCCGGATGCCGGCGCGCTCATGACCTCGCACAGCGCGCACGTGGCCTGGGGGCGGGGGGGGGGGTACGTCAGGCTGGGCTCTGTGGGACCCTCGGGACTCTCGCGAGGCCGCATGCTGAAGGCCGGGCCTGCCCCCAACTCGCCCGAAACTTGCCCAAAGCGCCCTGGGTCACCCCACGTGCGCGGAGATCTGGCTGGTGGGGGGGGGGGGCGGAACGCCGCACAGGGAAGCCGCGGCCTCGCTGGGCCCCTGGCAGGCGCGGGGGCAGGGTGGCCCCCCTTGGGACAGGCCCCCGACCATCTGCTCTTGATTCCACAGCAGTGAAAAGGGGGAAGCAGCTCTGGCAGCTGCTGTGCCGACGCCGTGGCCTCGCCTTCCCGCGGGATGGGGGCTTCCCTTAGGGCCAACAGCTGCGAGGCCTTTACGAGCCAGGCCACCTGTGGGTCCTCCCGCCAGTAGCCCCACGGCCCCTCCCCGGCCTCCGGGAGCGGGGAGCAGGCCAGGCGGGCAGCCCCGGAGCCCCACTCACCGCGAGGGGCAGCACTGTGGCCACGCGGCCCGGAGAGCTGCTCAGAAGGAAGGCCCGGGTCTCCTTGAATGGGACGTCCTTGCTCAGCTTCTCCAGGAGCAGCCCCAGGACCTGGGTGGTGAGGCTGGGCTCCACGGCCAGCGCCCGCCACAGGGTGCAGGTGTGGCTGCAGCGGGACGGAAGGACGGTCACCCCCGGGCCCCAGACATGCCGCCAGACCTCCCCTGCTGCAGGGGGGGACCCCAGCCTCGGCCCGGGGGTCTGCAAACAGATGGCGAGCCGAGCTGGCAGCAACGAACCCCGAGCCCCGAGACGCGGCTGAGGGCAGCCACAGCCCCGCAGGCGGCACAGGACAGGACATGGGCGGGAGGCGTGGGGGCCGCCTCCACGCACAACCGTGGGCCGGCGGCGGGAGAAGTGCCCCGGGGCTGAGCAGAGACAGGACAGCGGGTATCCCAGAAGCAGAGGATGGACAGTGCTCAGCATGGGGGGCAGCAAGGCCACGGCCACCTGGCCGGGGGAGGGGGGTGGGACGTGCCTCCTCCCGCGTGCTGAACTCTCACCGAGCTCGACTCCTGCCAGGTGAACACACCTTCAGATCCCAAAAAGAGAGTCTGCACACCCTCTCCGAGGAAATGCCAGAAGATGGGCTGCAGGCAGAAGGGACGGAGGCCCAGATGCCACCACGAGGGACAATGCGCGTGCCCACCAGGAGGCGAGCCGTGCCGCGTGGGGGCAGGGACACCGGGGAGCCTGCACCTGCACCCAGGGCAGGGAACAGCTCACTCTCGGCACGCAGCCTCGTTGACCAAACACCCACGCGGCAGCGAAGGGCCATGTCGTGTTCCGATAACTTTGCTTCTGGACAAATTTTAATTTCATGTGATTTTCACAGTCATGAACTAGCCTCTGGCTTTCTTTGCCAGCTACTTGTGAGATTAAAACCCACCCTGGAGGGGATCCCAGGGTGGCTCAGGGATTGAGCGTCTGCCTCCGGCTCAGGGCGTGACCCCGGGTCCCGGGATCGAGTCCCGCATCGGGCTCCCCGCAGGGAGCCTGCTTCTCCCTCTACCTGGGTCTCTGCCTCTCTGTGTCTCATGAATAAACAAAATCTTAAGAAAAAAACCAACCCACCCTGAGCTCAAAGGTTGTGCACAACACGTGGTGGGCCAGACCTGGCCAGGGCTGCCCTGGCGCCACAACGCGGGAATGAGCCGTGCAGCCCGACGACGGGCAGGGCCACGTAAAGGGGGCAGAAGGAAACGCCCCATGACTGTGTTTACGCGGATTGTGTCATCGGAGCTCAAGACCGAGCACAACGCGTGTCTGGGGACAGCCGTCGGGCAGCAGCAACATTTCTGGGTTTGGAGCTCGGGGCACAGGGCACGGGCCATGGGCCCACCCGCACGGCCTCCACGAACAGAGAAGCCAAAGCACGAAGAGCCAAGCATGGGAGGCGCGGCCACGGCCTGGAGAGCTGGCGGCCACCACCAGACCCTCCCGGTCAATGCGGGCGCGGAGGGGGCCCCACGTGCAGAGGCCCAGCACCCCGAGAGCCGGGCTCTGTGAGCACGGGTCCCTCTCGGGTCAGCTGCTGTAAGACCAGAAACCGTGCAGGACTTCAGAACTCATTTTGGGGAAAACAAACTCCTAAAAAAGGCCGTGTCGAGCTAGAGAGAGACAAGAATGAGGATCCAAAAGGAAGAGGGGAAACAGAAGTCCCAGATGGGGCTGGACGCCCGCCTCGCCACGGCAGAGGCACGACGTGGCCTTCACACTGGAAGGACAGGCGGACAAAGAAAGGCCGGCAGGGGCAGGAAGGAGAGAGGCGCTGAGGGCCGAGGGCGCCCTGCGGGAGACAGACTACCACCTCCGAGCGCCTCTGCACAAGCAGAGCAGACGCGAGTCAAGGAGAGGTACGCGCACAAGCAGAGGCGCCGACAGCGGGGCTGGGGACGGGGGAGCACACAGCTCGGGGCCCCTCCCAACAGGCGGACAGCAAAGGCAAGGGCGCGGGCCTCAGGTGGGGGGACCCTTCCAGCTCGAGGACGGGTTGCTCCAGATGGTGGCAGGTGCCCCACAGGGGCCAAGCTGGGACACAGAGTGCAGGAGGGGCTGGGGGCAGGTGGACCCCGTGCAGCCCGCAGGTGCCAGATACCTGTCAAAGGGCAGGGGGCTGCCCAGGAGGCTGGTGACCACCGCGGCGCAGTGCTGGGATGCCAGGAGGTGCACACTGTGCTGGGCGGCCTGCACGACGTACTCCTCTCGCGTCTCCTGCAGCTTGGAGCGAAGCACACTCACGATCTCAGGCACCTGAGGGTGGGGAGCCATGGAGGTCAGGCCGGGCACACGCACACGCACACACTGGGAGCCCTTCCCGCACCAGCAGAGCACAGGCGCCTGGGACACAGAGGGGCACAGGAGGAGGCTGCGGGGTGCATACGGAGGCCCAACTGTGCCTGCCGGGCCCTCTCCACCAGGAAGGGCAACACACAGCCGCCTGCTGCCCAGACACGGCCGCCCTTCGCCAGGCCAAGCGGTGAGCACCACCCCAGGACAGGGAGTGTGGGGAAGGGGACACAGGTCCTTGGACGGTCCCAGAAGCTGGGGGCCATCAGGAGGGGGCAGACAGAGTGGAGCTGCAGGCAGCCGGTGCCCCTTCGGGCCCACCCAAGCCAAGGGCCTGGCTCCACAGCCAGTCGGGGGCCCACTGGCCCAGCACGGCAGGCAGGCCCCCTTGTGGGCACCGCCTCGTCGCTACAGGCCCCGGGCCCATGGCGAGGGACGCTGGCCCAGCACGGGGAGCCCCTACTGCCGAGGCTGCACAGCAGGGAGGACAGCTGATGAGACACGGTCCCCTGGACGGGGCAGCGCTGGCCGAGGATCCCACCTGAGGGGTGGGGGGGGGGGAGCAGGAGGAGCAAGAAGGGCAGGGCACAGCTCTGATGAGGGAACGTTCCAGGCCAGGCCCACACCTGCTCATGCGGTAGCGCATCTCGCGTGTGGGGGACAAGGGCTGTGGATCTCTGCTGGAGAGGGCGTGGGCAGCACCAGGACAGGGGGACACCAGGACACTTGTCTTCTACAACTTTGGAGTTGGGCCAGGGGGCTGATCTCCCAGCTGCTGAAGCGTAGCACCCCGGCGCCAGTGTCCTGCTCCTGCTGACCTGGACCTGTCCCCCTGCATGCCACAGAGCACCGCATCCTCTAAGCTGGCCTGGGGCGCCCTGGCAGCGAGGACACGAGGGCTGGATGCGCGCCTCCACGTGCACCCGGTGGCCCTCGTGGCTGTGAGTCCCCTTGGCTCCCCCAGGCCCTGCGCCCAGGTGCGGAGTCTGCGTCCCCGTAGCAGCCTGTCCCAGCAGGGCGGGCTCGCCAGCACCCTGAGCAAGTTGCTTCTTGTCCTTCGCTCACTTTGCATTTTCCTTTTGGGAACAGTGGCTCTTTCTCCTGACTTGTCTTGTCAGAGGTGTTTCTAATCGTTTCAGTGGGGTTGTCCATCTTCTCTACCCTTTTCCTAGCTCCGGCGTATTTCACGAAGCAGCGAGCAGGCCCTGGCATGTGTGGCCGGTGAGTGTGGCAGCAGGTCCCGGAGCTTGGCTGCGGAGGGCACTCGGCCTGGGGCCGTGCCAGCGCCCTGCTTCCCTGACCGGCAGGGCCCAGGGTAGGGTCTGCATTCCGACGGCCCACCATGTGGGGCTCAGCCTGCACGCCCTGCACCTTCTGGATTGTTCCAGGCTCACCTTTACCCGTCCAAGGCCTGTCCTCCCGGCAGCAGCCCCTTATGCTCTCTTGCCTCGTGGTCCCTTCACTGAGGCTCCGTGGAAGGACTCCCTGCCGCAGGGTTGGCCTGTGTAAGCGTGCGAGTCAGTGGTCTCCAGTGTGTTCCCAGGGTTGTGCAGCATCACCCCCAAAAGCAGCCTCATCTGCATCAGCCACCCCTCCGGAGCCCCTGGCCCTCCTTCCGACCCCATGGACTCGCCACACGAATGGACTCACACACTGTGTGGCCTTTGGTGACTCGTTTCTTTCATTGTGCACCATGTTTGCAAGGTTCATCCACATGTAGGTGTGTCGGTGCTTCCCTGCTCTCTGCTGCTGGATGATACTTCATTGCAAGGATACGACACGTTTCATTTATCTGTTTATTTATCGACAGGCATTTGCGTTGTGTCCCTTCTTCGGCCATTATGGTTGCTGCTGCTGCGAGTGTCTATGTCCAGGTCTTTGTGTGGATGTGCCTCTGCTTCTGGGCACAGGCCTCGGAGCAGAGCTGCTGGGCCCCGGGTGAGCCTGCCACAACGCTGCACGGCAGTAGGCGCGTTTTGACTCCACTGTGTCCTGTTTCCTTGGCTTCCCTGCAGCTTCCCTCCAACCCAAGAGGCCCTGCTCCTGCTTCCAACACCGCTGAGGCTAGGAGCCTGTGGTGTGGCTTTCTGTCTCGCCCTCTCTGCTCAGTTTTACAAGGTGCTCTATTTGAGGATCGCTGCCTGTAGGGGTCAAGGGGTCAGTCCAGTCACATGTCACTTGCTAGGACCACATTTTCTGATTTGATGTCAGAGAAATTTAGAGTCTAACGGCGACCTGGTGTGTCTAAGAGGACCCCTGCCAAGGTCTGCCAGGACAGGAAGGAAAATGACAGCCCACCAAGGCATCTGTGGGTACAAGATGCCAGCGTGCCACGTCACGCATGAGACAGACACGCTCAAAGTGTGAACCTGGGTCAGCAATGCAGTCCCCTGGGGGAGGTGTGCGGAGTGCCATATCTGTGAGCCTGAGCTGGAAAGGGTACTGTGCAAAAAGCAGCACCCTGAACACCCACCCGCCAGCTCAGTACATTGGGCCTGTGGAGAGGAGCCTGGATCTATCACGAGTGGGTGGGACCCAAAGCTATAAAACTCCTAGAGCAAAAAAAACAGGAAAAAGCTTCATCACATTGAATTTGGCAATAATTTCCCGGCTATAAAAGAACAGGCAACAAAAGCAAAAATACAGTGGCACCTGAGCAGCTCAGTCGGGTGTCTGCCTTCAGCTCAGGTCATGATCCCAGGGTCTGGGATCCCTGCTCAGGGAGGAGTCGGCTTCTGCCTCTGCCCTCCCCCTGCTTGTGCTCTCTCAAACAAAATCTTAAAAAAAAAAGAAAGAAAGAAAGAAAGAAAGAAAGAAAGAAAGAAAGAAAGAAAGAAAGAAAGAAAGAAAGAAAGAAAGAGAAAAAGAAAAAGAAAAAAGAAAAATACAGGACTATAGCAAACTCAAAGACTTCTGTGTACATGGGGCAGCTCGTTGATAGAGCATGCGACTCCTGATCTCAGGGTCACAAGTTCAAGCCCCTCACTGGGTGTAGAGCTTTCTTAAAAAACAGACAAACAAAACTTTTATGCATCAAAGGACACAATCAACAGAGTGAAGAGGCAACCTGGGAACTTGGGGAAAAAACACCTGTAAATCATACATCTGATACCGTGTTAATATCCAGAATATATAAAGAACTACATCCCAACAACAACAAAAATTAAACAACAGGGTTTTAAAATGGGCAAAGGACACGAACAGATTTATCTCCAAAGAAAATGTACAAATGGGGAATCCCTGGGTGGCGCAGCGGTTTGGCGCCTGCCTTTGGCCCGGGACGCAATCCTGGAGACCCGGGATCGAATCCCACGTCGGGCTCCCGGTGCATGGAGCCTGCTTCTCCCTCTGCCTGTGTCTCTGCCTCTCTCTCTATCATGAATAAATAAATAAAATCTTAAAAAAAAAAGTACAAATGGCCAACAAGCATCAAAAGATGCCCACCATCACTAATTGTGAGGAAAATGAAGTCAAAACCATTAGGAAGAAATCCCTGGGTGGCGCAGCGGTTTGGCGCCTGCCTTTGGCCCAGGGCGCGATCCTGGAGACCCGGGATCAAGTCCCACGTCGGGCTCCCGGTGCATGGAGCCTGCTTCTCCCTCTGCCTGTGTCTCTGCCTCTCTCTCTCTCTCTCTCTTTCTGTGTGACTATCATAAATAAATAAAAATTTAAAAAAAAAAAAAACATTAGGAAGTACCATCTCACACCCGGCAGGATGGTCACTAGAAAAAAAAGAAAAACAGATAACATGTGTTGGCAGAGATGTGGAGAAAGTGGAACCCGTGTGCACCGTTGGTGGGAGTGCAAACTAGTGCAGCCACTGTGCAAAGCAGTATGGCAGGTCCTCAAATGGTAAAAACAGAATTACCGTATCACCAGAAATTCCATGCTAGATATTTACCCAAAGAACAGAAAGCAAGATCACGGAGAGACACCTGTACACCCACGTTCCCAGCATCACTTGCAACACCATGGGATGAACAGGTGAACACCGTGCGGCCTCTACATCCACACACCGGGACCACCATGCCCACTGCCTCCAGCCGGGTCCACCCCCTTCACTCACACAGAGCCACTGGGGCACTTGCTACAATTCAAGTCCAACCTGGGGAGCCCCACTGAATGCAACAATAAAATCCAAACCTTCATCCGGCCAATCCTGTCACAGTGTGTCCCCTTCCCCCTGCCACACCTCTGCCCCCAAGTCCAGACCGCCGATGCCTCCCACCCGATACCTCCACATCCGCCGCAGCCCTTTGCTCAGTGCCCTTCCCTTTCCAGGGGTCACCAGACACAGTTCCCTTCCTACATGCCCCTTCCCAATGCTCTTCCATCTTCCCTGTCAGGAAATTCCTGCTCATTCCTCCCCGAGAAGGTACTTGTGATATATACATACTCATGCGTGTGCGTGCGTGTGTGTGTGTGTGCACGTGCGCGCCTCCAGCAGAGAACTATCCAGGTTACACAGGACTTCCACACATCACTAAGAAAAGCACAGACAATCCAGAAAAAAAACGAGGACACTGGTGTCTTCACAAAGGACGGCCGAGTAGCCAGCAACACGTACAAACTACATAAGCTACCAGAGGAACACCAACTGGACTCTCACACCCAGCAGAAAGCATGGCAATGACGTGGCACGCCAGACCCTACCGCTGCCGGCGGGAGGGGAGTGGTCCCCTGCCTGCAGCGCCACCTGGGACAGCCACACGGGGGCCTCTCCTGCAGGCCCCAGCCTTTCCACCGGTACATCCCCAACAGAAATGCACCCTCGTGTCCAAAGGACCTGGACTCTGGCAGCTTGCCCCATGTCCACAGAGGCTGGCGGGTGAGTGAACACGATGCCCCGCAGGAAGGAGTGGTGTGTGATGGACTGTGTGACCTGAGCACTGGGAGAGGCCGCACAAGGGCACGGATGGTGTGATTTCATCTCTGTAAGGTGCAAACCAGGCCGAGCTCTGTACTGCCGGGAGGCGGTGACAGCCTGTGGGGGGTCAGCCTGTGGGACCGGGGGCTCAGGAGCTGGTGGAATGCTCTGCTCCTGCACCTCTGGGGGGCCTCCCAGGGCTGTGTACTCAGGACAAGTTCACTCCTCTGCTTGGATGCTTTCCAGGCAAACAGGTCTGCCTCTCAGGGGGTCACAGGGCAGGCGTTCCAGCAGTCCCCGGACCCCTGGGGCCTGCAGAGCTACAGGCCCTGAGGGCAGGCACACGCATGTCAGCTGTCCGGCCACATGCACAGACCCAGAGCTGCTGCCAGTGCACACTTGGGAACAACCACACGGACAGCCTCCCACCAAGAGGACACAGGAGTGACAAGATGAACATGCAGGCAGCAAGGAACAAGTGGCACCTGAGCGTCCTGGGCACGGCCTCTCTGGGCCAGCAGGCTGCAGGACTATCCGGCTGCTGGAGCAGAGTGCCCAGCCAGTGCCCACTCGTTGCAGGGCTCCCTACACCTTACCCCTGCATCTACCTTCCCCTTCCCTCCCCCTCAGTTTCTCCGCAGTTACTTGTGTCAAATTCTGTCCTTTTCGCAGAGCAAGGGGGCCGAGCAGTGTGTGTGCCACCCAGAGCACAGGAGCAGGGGCAGCAGGGGCAGAGGGGGGTGCAGGGCAGCGGGGGGGGGGGGCAGGAGGACCCCAGCAGGCCCTGCCCCCACCTTCTCCTGGAGCATGTTGCCACGCTCCTTCAGCAGGCAGTTGACCATGACCGTGGCGGCTCGAGAACAGTTCCTGTCGGGGTCTCCCAGGCCCTCAAACATGGTCAGCAAGAGGCTGATGAGCTGCTCCGGCGGGAGGCGCTTCGCAATAATCTAGAAGGATGGTTGTGTCAGAAGAGTGGGAGGGTGGGGAGCAGCGCCCACCGCACACAGACCCGGGCCGCCGGGTTCTGGGGCTGTCCCCACTTCCGCCCCTCCTCCAGCCTTCTCTGCCCTGTCCAGGGTGCCCACACTGGCCCCTGGAGGATGGTCCCTGGAGGATGGTCCCCAGGCAGCCACCTCTGGTCAGAGAGCCTCCAGGAGGCCCCTCCCGACTGGTTGGGGTGGGGAGCTGCTCTGGAGCGCTCCAGACCACAGAGTCAAGGGCAGAGGGCAGCCGTCCTGCCCCAACAGCCCAGCCACGGGCCGGACACCCGTCCTCGTCCTCAGCACAGCAGAGCGAGTGCTGGTTAAAGTGGAGAAGCAGCACACAGGCTAGAGGAGGTCACAAACCGCACACGGGAGCCACGAGCACGACGGTGGCTGGACATCTGCCACGTCTGGCCCCAAGCACACACGCACTTGCCACTCCATCTGGATTCGCCCAGGGCCAGTCTCTGCCTCCCATTGTCTGGGCACCCGCTCCCTTCTCCCTTCTGTAGGAGAGGAAGCCTCCGGAAGCCCTGAAGGCAATTTCCAGATGCAGAATGGAACTATAGCACTGCCGGGGCACGGAGCCTACCCCGGGAGCCAGCGGCTGAGCTCCTGACCATGCCCCTGCTGCCGGGCCTCAGAGGGTAGGCCCCAGGAGACGGAGGGAGTGCTGGTCAGAGGCGGTGCCACACCACGTTCTCTGAATGGGACCTGCCAATGTGCCCCGTCGCTGCGCCCTGCAGAGCCCGTGACAGGACGGTACTGACGGCCCAAGAGCCCCTCTCTGCCCCAGACACTGCCGCCCTCCCATCCTTTGTGGCTGCCGCCGTAGGTACCTGGGCTATGCTGTTGCAGGTGTGAAAGAGGATGGCAGAGTCAGGGTGCACAAGGCCTTCCTTGAGGGTGAGGAGCCGCTCAGCCACATCATCGCGGTAGTCACGGGAGAAGCCTTCAGAGGCAGGACGGAGAGTGGAGCTGGGCAGGCGCTTCCCCAGCCCCCAAGGCCCAGACTCTGCCCCCCAGCCCTCCAGCACCTCTGCCCAGCCAGGGCTCACCCTCGTAGCCCAGCTGGAGGTACAACAGGGCGTAGACACAGCTCACAGCCTCCTGCCGCGTGGCAGGCCACAGGTCCGCGCACCGTGGGGAGAAGAGGCCTATGAGGAGGCCGAGGTTGTGGAAGGGCACCAGGGCCTAGAGAGGCAGACAGGGAGGGTCCTGCAGACACATTCAGGGGATAGCGGGAGACGGGGACTGGGGCCCAGCCACCTACAGCACCTGGGCCCCCAACATGGGCAGCCATGTGACCAGCACAGCCCCTCGCTGAGCTCCTCCCTCCCGGGGGAGGGGTTCCCTAGGAGGAGGGCTGCGTAGTAGGTGTGTGCAGGCAGAGCAACATCCGGCTATAGAGGGGGTCCCCCCGGGGCAGCAGAGAGGGGCAGGGTGCTACTGATCCTGGCTGACAGGTGTGGGAAGTTCCCGCCCCTAGAAAGCAGGGGTGTTGTCAGGAGAGGGGCCGTGTGAGGTCCCCCTTTCGTCCTAGCTGGGTGCTGGTCCCAGCTTCCAGAGCCTCGTCTTCAGTGCTCATGGAGCCTTGCTCCTCTGCTCTAAGCAAACGGCCTTGCCCACCCTGGGCCTTGTGACATCACTTACACACCCCTCGGCCTCTGCCTTCACCTGTCCCTGTGGGCCCCCCATCATGTGTGAGGCCTTTTCCGGAAGCCCCCCCACCCGGTCCCTGTCCATGCACAGGCTCCTTTCAGAAAGCGCAGGCCTCTGCCTCTGCTCCCCTGAGGGCCCTCCCGAGCCAGAGTATCCATCAGAGGGAGGCTGGGGTGCTGGGCACAGCACCTCACGGGACCAGCTGCCATTCCTGCCAGTGAGGTCACACGTCTGTCACCTCACATGCCAGGTGAACTCCAGTTGGACTAGGGTTACGTGAAATGCAGGCCACGAAAGAAGCGGAGTCGGAAAAGCCCACCTAAAGCACACACGGAAGGCAGAAACCATCAGGAAACACACAGCAGATCCGGCCAGGCCAAGAATGAACGTCGGGCTTGTTACCAAACAGATGCTACCAGAACAGGAAAAGAAATAACTAGCAGCAAAACTCTCATCTAAAGGCTGGGGACTGGGAACCCTGGGTGGCGCAGCGGTTTGGCGCCTGCCTTTGGCCCAGGGCGCGATCCTGGAGACCCGGGATCGAATCCCATGTCGGGCTCGCTGCAGGGAGCCTGCTCCTCCCTCTGCCTGTGTCTCTGCCCCTCTCTCTCCTCTGTACAGTCTCATGAATAAATAAATAAAATCTTTAAAAAAAAAAGAACTATGAAAAGAACCTTATCAACAGCCTCATTTCTAAATATCCACAAATCCATCCTAACAATAAGCAGTAAATACAATTGCAGAAAAAGCTACAAAACCTCCAAAACCAGACCGTGCAGCCCATGCTTCTTAGGGACCTGGAGGTAATAGATGCTACTGCCCAACGAAGTCATCCATCAATTCCATGCAATCCCTACCAAAATCCAAGATCACAACAGGAATATTTTAGGACTGTCAAATTCATCCTAAAATCACCCAGGCTGATGATCTTGTTAAGAACAACTGTGGAGCAAGGAGCAACTTCACCTCAGCAAATACTGAAGCGCGTCCTGAATGTGCAGCCCTTGGAACAAGCCCCTGCCCCCCCACTCTGCCCACCCCGAAGGACGTGTCCTTCCCACAGTGTTCTGAGCATTCCGGCGCTCCTGCCTCGAGTGTCCTCATCATCTTTTCCCCCTGGTCCCCATCACCCACCCCTTCATTTAAGGGACACATCCCACATTAATCCCAGCTAATCCACAGGCTCCCAAGGACAAGGGTGCCCATCAGACCTGACTTGGTGGCCAGCCCTGGGGGCGATTCCTGGCCTGATTGCTCTTCTGTCTCCGGAAAGAGGATGGTGGGACTAGTGCAACGTGGGGTGATCCCAGGACAAGCACCAGAGGAGGGCCAGGAAGCTGGTAGGGTGCCCGGGGGACATAGGCGCCCTGAGCCAAGGGACCCAGGACAGGGCTAGGGCAGGGGAGCAGCCGTAGGGCCGGGCTGGGTACTCACACTGACGTGCAGGTGCTCCAGGAAGTACCGCAGCAGGCAGGCACTTAGGCTGAGCGCCCGCACCCTCTCGTGGCCCCGTGGGGACTTGATCCATGGGCTCAGATGCTAGGGAAGAGGGGGCTTCACACAGGTGCCAGCTCAGGGGTTAGCCTGGGAAGCAGGAGCCTACGCGCTGCAGGCAAGTCAGCATCCCTGCCAGGCCACCCGCCCCAGCTGCGAGGGCCAGCAGGCCAGGTCAGAGCAGGTCATCCACCGTAGCTCCCGCTCTGCCCCCGTCCTATAGGTCTGGCTGTTCTCAGGAGCCAGGCAGTCCCACCCCTGCAATTGCTAGGAAGGCAGTGAGAGGTGCAGCCTGGCTACCGCCTGCCCCCACTCTGCCATCTTGACCCCAGCCCTAGACGGTCAGGACCTCCCAGCTGGGGTCCTGCAGGCTCTCTCCGCCCCCGTGCAGGCCGTGGAGGACGGGACTACAGGCTCCCACCAGGGATCACCCCCAACTGCACACCTGCCTGGGAAGGCGGGGGCGCTGCCCCTGCTCATAGACCCCCTCCCCACCCCCACCACACACGTGCAGACAGCACCCACCCCCCAGTGCCCGCCAGGGCAGGGCGCACCCCTGCACACCTCCACCATGATCTGCAGGCCCTGGGGGGTCATGTTCCACTGAAGGAGGCCCGTCAGCAAACCCTCAAGGGCACGCATGGTGTCCAGGTACAGGGACTAGAGAGACAAGAGGTGCCAGCCAAGCAGTGAGCCTGCCTCCTCCGCGGCCTGCCTGCCGTCCCCACAGGTGCCCGCCGTACCTCCTGGTGGTCATCCTCCCCCTCAGGCTCAGGCAGCACGGGCAGGATGCTGTGCAGACAGCTGTGGATCAGGTCCGCCTGCATGTGCTCTTCCAGCGCTGGCTCCAGGGAGCTGACGGGGAGTCAAGGGCCCAAGGCCGCTGCACCCGCCACCCCCTGTCCAGAGGGCATGTGCATAGACGGCAGCCCCCCAGGCTCCCCTCACACCCAGAGAAAAGGATACGCCAGGTAAGTGCAGGCAAGCATGGCCTTCTTCCGAATGGGTGTTCTCAGGGAGTCTGGGGGCTCCGCCTTGATGAACTCCTGGGGGAGCCAGTCCCTGACTCAGCTTCCCCCCCCCCCCCGTCAGCCACGTGCCTGGTGCTGGCTTCAGGCTAGCTCCGTCCCTCCACCCAAGGGAGTGCTGCGGTCCCCTGCTGCGTGTGCCCCTGGTCCGCCCCAGGCCCCGTCCGGCGCTCACCATCATCTGTGCCACCAGCTCTGCTTTCTGGGAGAAGTGGAAGGAGTTGGCCTGTGCGCTGCTGCAGATGGCCTGGCTGGCCATGCACACGCTCTGGACAAGACACAGCTTCAGAGCCGGATCCTGGAAGGACACAGGGCTGCAGGAGGCCGCCCACACCTGCCCCCACAGCTTGGCTCCGCCTGAGGTGGTGGCCGCTGCCTCTCCGCCCTTGGGGCTGAACCCAGAACAGGTGGCCACGCAGAGCCAGAGGCCAGACCACAGGCCCTCCCCTCGTTCCGCAGCCACACGCACATGCTCCTGCCTGACAGACCTCTCAGCCCGTCCTCCAGCTCTCGCCAAAGCCGCACGGACAGGGGCCCGGTGATGGAGCCCCCGCAGCACTCAGCTCTCTGCCTGGCCGGGCACGAAGGGCCAGAAGGAGAGACATCTGTCGGAATATCCTTCCCGCCAGCCAACCCAAGAGGGTCCACTCTCTAAGGGAAGCCCAACTGCCCCTACAGAGGCGTGACCTGGTTAGTGCCAGAGATCCCAGAGAGGAGACATATTAGTGAGGCCAGAGGGGCTGACCGTCGTCACTGAGAGTGAGCCCCGTGAGCATCAGGGAGCAGAGCCCAGCCTGCGGGGCTGCCACCCAGCCACCTAGGAGTCCTTCTGTCCACCCGCTGGCCAGGCCTGAGGCCAGAGCGCTAGCCCCTGGGCCCCCGTCCTGGTCGCGAGAGAAGGAGCTGCTCCGAGGTGAGTGGGGACGGCCCTGGTGCGAGGCTGCAGAAAGCTGTCCCCGTGGATGGGACCAGGGAACCCCCTGAAGCTCACGGCCAGCCCAGCCCCGAGAAGAGAAAAGGCAAAAGGCATAGTTCACACTTAACTCCTACACACTGTACCTTCGTCTCTACCTTTATTCCCAGAACCTGAACAACAAAAGTGAAAGGAATTAACACGGGCGACTGTGGCGGCCGGGCCCTCCCCACGGGCGCTGTGCTGGGGCGCCCACCTTGGTGCTAAAGTACTGGAATATGTTCCGGAGGATGTCCGACTCGACCTTGGCCAGCACCAGCTCCCGGGGGGCCCGTGCCGCCACGTGGCCATAACACAGGATCAGCGTGCCCTTCAGCTTTTCCACCTCGTTCTCATTTCGGTCCTGAGAGGCCAGAGGAGTTGGCAGGGCCTCCGTTACAGTTCATTGCATGCCCCCCAACAGGAGCCCGGCGCTCACACCCCCCAAGTCCCTCTGGAAGAAGGGCAGGGCCAGTCAGCAACGTCACAGGTGCCAGCTAAGTGGCGGAAGGTGCCACCTGACGCCGGAGAGAGTCCGCCTATCAGGTCTGCAGAAGCGACAGGCAGGCCAGCCTTAGGCCCACTGGGGGCCATGTGGGGGAGGGAAAGGACCGAGTCAGGGACCAGGTGGGAGGGGGCAAGCAGAAGGGACAGTGGGAGCTGAGAGACAATGGGGGGGGCGGGGGGGCGGGGTCCAGTGCTCTCTGCCCTGGAGCCCCTCCATCTGCGGGGCCCTGCAGACTCTGCAAATACAACAGGCCACAGGAGTCCATGCCTCCTGAATCGAGCTTCCCTGAGGATGCAGCCTCCACGGTGCCCGGGGGGCAGAGGACACACAGACAGCAGGAGGGAAGCCCCATCCTGGCCCCTGGGAGCCCTCTGGGGGCCGCCTGCCCCTCGTCCCCAGCTGGGAGGGGCACCGCACACCAGGAACCCTTGACCAGATGCCACCTCCCTGCCTCGGCCCCATCTGAGCACAGGGAGCTCCCCAATGCCCAGCCCCCAGGACCTCAAATCACGGCACTTCGGCCAAGACATAAGCACAGGCCGGTCCCACCTCAGACGGCCCCCTCACTGTCACTCTGACCCCGGTACCTTAAAAATGTTGAAAATGCCGGTGGATTTTCTGAACACGTCCGACCTCATGAAGTCCTCCAGCTGGGCCAGGACGTCGTCCAGGTGAGAGATGGCACAGATCCCAAAGCAACAGGCGAGGCCCTAGGGAGGCACACAGGTGCTCTCATACCTGGGACAGGACACACGCACACGAGTGCCTGGGGGGCTCCTGGGCACGGCGGCAGCCACCTCACGCTCGGCCTCCTCCTGGTGCCTGGCTGTCTCCAGCAGCTCCTGCAGCTGCTTCCTCACCACTTCCTTGCTGGAGGCGGCGCCCAGCGTGGTTCCAATGCATTTATACAGGAAGTTCTGCAACAGAGCCGAGAAGCATGATTGTGCCTGACGCTCCCATGTGGGCACCAACCACACGTGGGAGGAGGGGCTGCTGGGAACCCACCACACGGCCACCGCAAACACCATGACAGTTTTGGGCAATAGCGTGCGGAGCAAGAGGTAGGGGCAATGGGCTCTGACATGTCCCAGCCACCAGCCACCAGGGATACATCCAGGCACAAAGTCCCACAGAATCAAGCATAGGAACTTGGGAGCCTAAGGCCCGTGCCCAGGACCCCTTGTTGTGGGACACCCCGACCCCTGTGCACCTTCTCCTGGGCTATCCCGTTGTAGCAGGGCAGCTGTTTGCACATCTCTAGGCTCAGCTGGCAAGTCCACGTGTTGTCAGACACAACAGTCAGAGTGTCGCGAAGGAACTGTGGGCAGGAGCTAGAGCAGTGAGGGGCCAGGAATGCACCCTGCACAGGGCTGGCTGGGGAGGGCACTGAGGCCCCAAGGCGCCCTGTGCAGTGACCCCAGGGTGGTTCCGTGCCACAGCTCAGTGGCCTGTAGGCGACCTTCAAGCCTGGCCGTGCACACCCTGGGCGGTCGGGTGCACAGTGGGCCAGGCAAGGGCAGCACAGAAGGCTCCTGGGCCAGACGGAGGACCTCAGAGCCCCCATAACGTGCCCCGTCACAGCAGGGCGAGTGATCTGCGAGGGAGGTAGACAGTCCTCATGCCAGGGGCACGGCCTGTCCCCCACCCCCTAGGTCAAGGCAGCCATCACATGACTGTTGGGGGTGCAGCCCCCACAAGCATCCACTGCCCGGACTCTCCCAACCCAGGCGGAAGCAGGCCTCCGTGCCCAAGATGGGCCACACCCCCGGGGCTCCAGCTCTCACCGCCAGCAGCTTTTCCTCCCACTCCTTCTGTGACAGGGTTTCTTCAGTATGTTCTGAAATGACCAGTCGCTCAGTCAGCCTGGCCCGACCCAGCAAGCAGGAGTGCAATTCAGAGAACTGGGCCCAGGTCCCTGCCTGGCACCTTCCAGATATGCCTCACCCCGTGTTTGGGAGCGCCAGGATTGCTCCCACACCCCAAATGCTCCTGGGTGACACCCAGCCTCTCGAGGACACCTTTCCAGCCCCATGTCCCTGAAACTCAGGGGAGGCTGTTTCTTCCAAGTTAAAAAAACTCTGGTCCCCAAAAGCCAACCCAGATGCACACCAGCAAAAATGGGGTCAGAGGCAGAGGAGCCTCACCATCCAGGTGCTCCAGCAGCAGGGGAATGGTGGTTGCCCACCGCTGACCCAGCAAAGGGTGGATGTTCCGATGCAAGACGTTCAAGAGGCGCAGTGAGGCGGCCCCACGGCCGTCCCCCAGGTAGGGGTGGGAAGACACGGTCTGAAGAAGTACAGGGGGGAGCTCCAGATCCAGGGCTCAGCAGGCCTCATGGGGGGAGGCAAGGAGGTTCCACGGGCAGCACCTGACCGGCCCCCCCACGGCGAGACAGCATGTGGCAGGGGACATAGGGACCCAAGGCGAGCCTGCTCCTTCCCGACTCCATCAGTAGCTGTGTGGTTAGGGGAGATGACAAAGGCCACACAGAACACTCACCAGCAGTCTTGTGGTTATGGCATAGGGTGAAGGGAGGCTCACTGGAAAGAAAGTGGCAGAAATGCTCAGGGGGCTGCCTGCCACAGGGCCCCGGCCCGGCCGCACCCTGGGTAGGGGTGTAGTTGGGTTCAGGGCTCCCGGGGAGCAAGAGGACAGGACAGGTTCAAGGGTGAGATCAGGGTTAGGAAGACGTGCCGGGGGCAGGGGCGCACCGTTGCCGTCGTACTGGATGAGGAAGGCATCAGCTCCCACCTCCTGCTTCTTCTGTGCTAGGTGCACGAGGCTCCGGCAGAGGGGGGTCAGCGCCCCGGTGAAGCGCGTGGGCGTGAGGAACTCAAGCAGGTACGGCCAGAGGACCTGGGGGCAGAGCCGTGGTCCATGCCCAGCACCTTGGGTGTGCGGGCTACAGCAGCAGCGGCCCAGGAGCTCCCCCCCCCCCAGCACTGCACAGACTCGGGAAGGCTTGGGGAGGTGGCCCGGCGAGCACCCCTGCCCCTGTGGCTGCCCAGCACGGGTTCAAGTCACTGAGCCACAAGGTCAGGAGGCAGCGGTAGGTCACAACGAGGCAGCCAGGGCACCGGGGGCCAGGAAGCCAGCTGTCCAGGTGAGCCCGGGCGCAGGCTGAGGGGCTGGCCACACACTCACGTCGCTCATCCTGTCCACGGTGGTGCTGACCAGGTAGAGGGTGCTGATGCTGATGGCTCGTACACCGTCCTCTGCGAGGTCCTCGCTGTCAGGCGCCAGCTTCCGAGGCTGGTGTGGGGGAGGAGCAGAGGGAGGAGCGCGCGTGGGCTACTGTGGCTCTACTCTGGAGGCTCTGGGCTCTGAGGACAGAGCCCGTATGCAAATAGGCAGGCCCTTCCCAGTCCCGCGCAGAGGGGCAGCCATGACACCTGCCACCTGCCACCTGCTACCTGCTGTGGGCAGGTAGCATGGGCGGCACTAAGGCTTCCCACGGAAACAGGCTCAGCCGGCCTACTACTCTCCAGAGTAACAGAAACCTCGAGCCTTCCCTGCCAGCCATGGGCTCCACGGACTCCAAAAGAAATCACCTGATCCTTGACTGTGGCAAGCTGAGCTCCGTAGAAACGGGAGGGCCTTTGTGGAAATGACAGTCACCTGGGAAAACCCCCGTTTTTGACCAAGAACAGGCTGCAGCTTCTGCAGCCCAAGTCAGCAGTTTCTCTGGGGGCACCTATTGTCCTGTCTGCTAAGACTGCGCTCCAAAGCCCGGCTCCCTAGGAAGGTTCCTTGCAAGAAAAGGACTCCTGTTTTCTAAACGTCTGGTCTGAGCCTTCCATTCATGCTTTGAAATACCGAAAAGCAAACCCCAAATAACAAAGAGAAATGGCAAAATGCTATGACAGGAGGAGACCCAACGCTTCTCCCTCAGAGATCAAAGGTCAAGTAGAGAAAATAGGGATGGTCAAGCCTTGAATAACAAGTTATAAAGCATGCTCTTTACGTGAACACAGATAGAACTTCATCCCGAACAAACATGAACAACTTCAAATGCCTGACCATCTATTAGGTCCACAAGAAGATCTCAAGAAACTTATTTTTTTTTAATGATTTTATTTATTTAAGTAACTTCCCCCCATGGGGGCTTGAACTAAACAACCCTGAGGTCAGGAGCTGCACGTTTCGCTGACTGAACCAGCTGCGTCCTCTCTCAACAAACTCTGAAAAGCAGAAATAAACCTGGCCACATTCACAACAGACAATACGATAAAATTACGAGTCCACAACGGCCGTGAATAACTATCCACCTAGAAAAATTTTTAATATTCTAAAATAAATCTTCAAATCGCCAAATCGCCAAACCCTGGAGACTAACAGACTACGACAGAGGTCTTGATTCTGTCCAGTACGTGCCCAATGACCTAGGTGACTGTAACAGGCCAAAGCAGCAGGGGTGAGCCTCCCCAGGCCTGTGGGAACAGCAGCAAGCTGGACCCCTCGCGAGGGCCGTTTTAGAGGCAAGGTAGCAAGCAGCATCCACTCTGCTTAATCTCTAGTGTTTCAACTTAAACACAGAGGACCTGGGTAAGGATGTGGAGATCCCTCGTCCAGGGCTGCCTCAGCTTGGAGCTGACCTGGGCAGGCAGGGTGGCTCCGTGGGCCTGCGAGACCAGGGCCGGGATGGCTCAAGGCTGTGGCGAGACCACCAACTCATGCCTGTGTTTTTGCCCTCTACCATGCTCTCCCTCAGGAGGAAACTTGGATTTGCTCAGTAACTTTTTCAATAGAAAAGCCCCAAAGAGGGATGCCTGGGTGGCACAGCAGAGGAATGTCTGCCTTTGGCCAGGGCGTGATCTTGGGGTCCCAGAATCGAGTCCCATATCAGGCCCCCCGCATGGAGCCTGCTTCTCCTCTGCCTCTGTCACTGCCTCTATCTCTGTGTCTCTCATGAATAAATAAATAAAATCTTAAAAAAAAAAAAAAAAAACAGAAAGAAAAAGAAAAGCCCCAAAGAGAACCGCCTATCTGTCCCACCTCTCTCTTCTGAGTCCTGGGATCTAGGGGAGGGAAGCACTAAAGCTGCGGAGGCCCCAACTCTGAAGAGAGACAAACTGAGGTCCTTGCACCCCATCCACCCCAGCGGAGGCCCCTCCCCTCCTCTCGCTGCCCCCCTCCCCGCAGAGGCCCGGCCCCCTGGGCCGAGCTGTGCAGGTTCTGATGACCACGCCTCCTCAGAGAAGGCCTGACAGCCCCTGACCGCAGGCGCATGGGTGGGGGGGGGGGGGCCCTTACCTCCGACTCTGGGGGCAGGGCACACTGCTGCACGATGTACTCGACCATCGCCTCTCCTCCAGGCTGCTCCAAGTAGCCGTGGTGGGCCATGGCGCTGATCACCTGCACCACAGCCCGCTTCACCTGCCCAGGACTCAGGGAGGTCAGGAAGGAGCCTCAGAGGGAGCCCTGGACCCACCACCGTCCAGTCGGGAGACAGGAATCTTGCTGCCCCTCTGCCAGTAGCTTTCCTGCACCCACACCTGTACCACCCCTTGGTGGTGCGCCTGCCCCCCATGCCCCACTGACACTTGTATCTGCATCTGTACCTGTGCCTGCACCCACCCCACTTCTTCAGCACCCCTCAGCTGCACACGTGGCCTCCTGGCCGCCCTGGGGGGAAGGCCTCTTTCCCTCCGGTGCCCCCCCACACCTCCCTCCCTGCCCGGGCACTAGACTACTGGCCCTCTACCCAGTGCTTGTTCCACCGTGGGCTGCAGGACTACCACTCCCGGGGTAGAGGGTAGAGGCTGGCACCTCTCATGGGCTATCACTCCGGCTCCACCTCCCCTCGAGGGGAGGACTCTGAATCTGGAGCTGTTGCTCTAGGTCTGGCTGTGTCTGTGGTGACTTCCAGCCCCAGCCCAGCCACACGTCCTGCAGCTGCTCACAGCAGAGCTGGGGCTGGCCCACTGCCTACCTTGGTGTTGGTATCCAGAAGAGGAAGCCTCATGGAGGACAGAATAAAGGGCTTCTTAACTTCCATCTGAGGCGCTGCAAGAAATGAACAGATGGCTCAGTCTCCCCACCACAACCAAGGCTGGCTGGCCGTCCACCCCCGTGGCCCTCAGCATGGAGAGGGGATGGCACCTAAGCAAAGCCCCCCCACTGCTCTCCAGGGACAAATGAGCTTTTTCCCAAAAAACATTATTTTGCCCAATAAGAAGCTGGGAGGTAGGTAATTTAGGGCATCAGGTGAAAGTGTCCCGAGTCAGGCAGAACCAGGTCTAGGGTGAGGTCTCCAACAGCGCCCCAGCACAGCACTGACAGGCCTGGTCAGTAGGTCCGGCGGGGCGAAGCCACTGGAGCTGAGGGGCCACATGACAGCGCCCAACCCAGGGCGGCCCTGCAGAGCGGAGTGACAGGCGCGGTCCAGGCTGCGGCCACCAAACATTCTGCCAAGTGAAGAAGCAGCGCCGACACATGTCCTCAACCATGGGAGCACTTGGCGAGGGGTTGGTCACGTTTACATTCCCCAAAACGGGTCACAAAGAGCAAAGAACACAAACAACCCAATAGGAAAAGTGGCTCAGGCCACGAGCAGGCCCCGGCACGAAGAGGGACGAAGAGACAGCAGACCAAGGCTCAGGGATGTGGGGAGCGGGCCGAGGACTGACATCCACCCAGGCCCATGCCCCTGAGGCTGAGGAGTGTGAAGGAGCGCCCCAGTCTTCCTGCCACACAGGTGACAGCACCTGTCAGGGCCTGACGACTGGCTGAGGGTGGGCGCACACCTGGCCTGCCCCCCAGGGGCTTCTGTCCTCACAGAAGGGACATAAAAGACAAGCAGACGATCAATCAGATCATCACAACCTCCTTCATACAAAAAGATGTCTGAAGGCCAATAGATTAAATGAAAAGATGCTTAACCACTGTACTCATTAGAAAATTCACATTCCCTGGTGATTCCTATGACACAATCACCAAAACAATGGAAATTAAGAGACTGACGATGTCAAGAGCAGGCAAGGAAGCTGGAGCAGCAGGCTTTCACGCATCATACGTGAACACAGGATAGGAAGCCTACGGGGAAAACCACCTGGTATTTCTGGTAACATTAAACATGCACCTGCCCCAAGGCCCAGAAATTTCATGCTGCACGTGCCCACCAGCTGATCTGTACGAGAACGTTCATAACTCCATAACTACCCCAAGCTGGAAACAACCCACATGTCCATCAACAGGAAAACATTTTTTTATTCACAAAACATAATTAAGCATAACTCAGCAATAAGGATGAAGTGATGTACAACATGTACAAATCTCAAACGTACAATGCTTAGGAAAAGAACACAGATGCAAGGGTCCGGGTCGCCTGTTGTAACGAACTCTTCATATGAAATCCAAGAGCACGTAGAATCAATTTACTGAAGAGAAGTCAGAAAAGTGCTTACTTCCTAGAGTAAAGGTGGCTCCTGTCTGAAAGCAAGTACAAGGACACTTTGGGTTTTGGAAACTTTCCACCGTTTGAGTAATGGCTACATGGTTGAACGATGTGTAAAATATCACCAGGTCATACACTTAGGATTTGTGCATTTTACTGAATGTGATTTGTTCTTAATATTAGAAAGGGACATTCTGAAGGAAAAAAGATGACTGGAGGCCAAAAAACTTTAAAATATTTGATACAAAAAGTATAAAAGACAGGCAAAGACAACGAAGCACACATAAGGGAATGCTAAAGAAGACTTATGGAATAGCAGAATATTGAAATCCTATTTAGAAATCCTGAGATATGGGCAGCCCCGGTGGCGCAGCGGTTTAGTGCCGCCTGCAGCCCAGGGTGTGATCCTGGAGACCCAGGATCAAGTCCCACATCAGGCTCCTTGCATGGAGCCTGCTTCTGTCTCTCCCTGTGTCTCTCTCTGTATGTCTTTCATGAATAAATAAATAAATAAATAAAATCTTTTAAAAAAAAATCCTGGGGATCCCTGGGTGGCGCAGCGGTTTAGTGCCTGCCTTTGGCCCAGGGCGCGATCCTGGAGACCCGGGATCGAATCCCACGTCGGGCTCCCAGTGCATGGAGCCTGCTTCTCCCTCTGCCTGTGTCTCTGCCTCTCTCTCTCTCTCACTGTGTGCCTATCATAAATAAATAAAAATTAAAAAAAAAATCCTGAGATAAGGGGCACCTGGGTGGCTCAGGTTGTGATCCCGGGATTGAGTCCCACATCGGGCTCCCCACAGGGAGCCTGTTTTTCCCTCTGCTTGTGTCTCTGCCTCTCTGTGCCTCTCATGAAAAAATACAAAATCTTTAAAAAATAATAAATAAAAAACAAAAATCCTGAGATAAAATAAGATTTACAACTACATACTGAAAAGGCCTTTGACAGATCTGGGGAAAATATCACTCCCAGAACAGCCAACACAGTCAATAAAATTTCTGAATTTAGAATAAAAAAATCAACACCCTTTGGGCATCCAGGCAAACAGACCAAATCACTTGTATGGAAACTGAGACTGTCATCAGTTTTCAGAGACAATACTTGATGCTCAAGGACAGTGAAGCAAGGAAAGGAAGGAAGAGGCAAGAGCTTCCTGTGTGGCCAACCTGGTGGCAACAGTAGCACCCACACACACGAGAAGCTTCCTGCTTCAAGATGCCAAGGAATGCAACTCTGGCCCCAACTTCTTAATCATATTACAACACTTTAATTCAAAATTCGAAGACTTCTAAAAAGAGCAGAGCCCCGGCTCAGCCCAAGCTGGATGTGCATCCCAGATCACCGCTCATGCTCATGCCAGGTCGGAGCCATTCCTGAACCACCCCTTCCCACCTTCGCCTACAAGCAGACAGTGATGAGGCCTTCCTGCAGGTGCCCAGGACACAGCCTGCAGGAACAGGCCCACAGACACAGCCAGCACCGGGGTCACAGCAGCAACTGTGATCAATGAGCGGGGAGAGGTGCTCTGGTCTAAGTCATCCCACCAGGGGGGAGGTTGCAGTCATTCACCCCAATGCTACACAGTGTTACATGTCCATTATGTCTCAATAAAGCAGAAGAAAAAAAGAATAAAGTCTGGTTGCCAGTGAGGAAAAAACATATTTTAAGGACTTCTGATAGATCAACAAGCTATTACTGAATTTCTCACTGCAAGCCAAACTAAGTATGTGTTTTAATTTTATGAAAACCAGAACAAGGGACACCTGGGGGAGCTCAATCGATTAAGCCTCCAACTCTTGGTTTTGGCCCAAGGTGTGATCTCAGGGTCAAGGGATCCAGTGCCATGCCGGGCTCTGCACTCAGTGGGGAGTCTGTCTCTCCCTCTCCCTCTGCCCCCCCCCCCCCGCTTATGCATGGGCTCTCTCTATAAAATAAATAAAGCTTAAAAAAAAAAAACAAAAAGCCAGAATGGACAGGACACACATCCCCCACAATGGCTAAAGTGAAAGGCTGACAGGTGTTGGCAAAGACACAAAGCAATATTCCTCACATGCTGCTTGTGCTAATAAGGCGGGGGGTATAAACTGCGGCACAAACATTGAACAGAATGGTTTTACTGACTAACATTGAACACACATATACTTTATGACTCCTAAGCATACGCTCAACCATACGTGCACAGAAGAGTGTTCCCAGTGGCGTGGTGCATCGTAACAGAAATCACAGACCACGGCACTTATCACCACTAGACTGGATGGACTACAGCTTAATTCACTGGAATCCTTCACAGGAAGGAAAGTGAGTGAGCTACACTACATGAATAAATCTCACACACAGAATACTGAGGGAAAGAGCTAAGTTACAGAGTAATTCACACGCTCAGGTCCTATCCATACCACCCGCCAGCAGGCCGGCAGGGCTCCAGGCCAGCGCTGAGTTCTCGCAGGCAAAGGTAGGGGGTCATTATGCCGGACGGTACACATGTGTGCTTTTTGTATGGGTGTTATATTTCAAAATAAAACTAATAATGCATGGCAACAGAAGTAATTCCCTAAGGTGTCCTAGAGAGGGGAAAAGTGTATTCTTGAACTGTGTCATTTGGTAAGAAAAAGTCTACTTCCTTAACAAAATACAGCAGCATTTCTTTTTTTTTTTTTTCCAGCAGCATTTCTTATTAAAGCTTTCCTCACTGTAAGGATAGAGGGAATATGCCTGAATATCATAAAAGCCACATACAAAAGCCCACAGTGAACATCATCCTGAATGGGGAAAAACTGAGAGCTTTCCCCCTAAGGTCAGGAACATAGAAACCAAGGAATCATATTTTATGGTTTTTGGTGCAATTGTAAATGGGATCAATTCCTTGGTTTCTTTCTTCAGTCTCACTGTTAGTGCATAGAAATGCAATTGATTTCTGTGCATTGATTTTGTATCTGGCCACTTCGCCAAATTCCTGTATGAGATCTAACAATTCTGGGGTGGAGCCCTTTGGGTTTTCCACACAGAGTATCATGTCATCTGAGAAGAGGGAGAGTTTGACAGATCTGTACTCTGAAAACTGTAGAACGCTCCTTAAAGAAATTTATAAAGACACTAAGAAATGGAAAAACATTCCATGTTCATGGATTGGAAGAACAAATATTGTTAAAATGTGTATGCTACCCACAGCAACCTACACGTTCACTGCAATCCCTATCAAAACCCCATCAACATTTTTCACAGAGCTGGAACAAATAATCCTAAGATTTCCTTGGAACCAGAAAAACTCCCAAACTCCCAAAGGAATGTTGAAAAAGAAAACCAGGGGATCCCTGGGTGGCGCAGCGGTTTGGCGCCTGCCTTTGGCCCAGGGCGCGATCCTGGAGACCTGGGATCGAATCCCACATCGGGCTCCCGGTGCATGGAGCCTGCTTCTCCCTCTGCCTGTGTCTCTGCCTCTCTCTCTCTCTCTCTCTCTCTCTCTCTGTGACTATCATAAATAAATTAATTAATTAATTAAAAAAAAAAAAGAAAGAAAAAGAAAAAGAAAACCAAAGCTGGTGGCATCACAATGCCTGACTTCAAGCTATCTTACAAAATTGTGATCAAGACAGTGTGGTACTGGCCCAAACAGACACGTAGATCAATGGAACAGCATAGAAAACCTAGAAATGGACCCTCAACTCTATGGCCCACTCACCTTTGACAGAGTAGGAAAGACTATCCAGGGCAGCCCCGGTGGCTCAGTGGTTTGGCACCGCCTTCAGCCCAGGGCGTGATCCTAGGGACCCAGGATCGAGTCCCGCGTCAGGCTCCCTGCATGGAGCCTGCTTCTCCCTCTGCCTGTGTCTCTGCCTCTCTCTCTCTCTCTCTCTCTCTCTCTCTCTCTCTGTCTCTCATGGATAAATAAATAAAACATTAAAAATTAAAAAAAAAAAGGAAAGACTATCCAATGGAACAAAGAGTCTCTTCAACAAATGGTGCTGGGAACATTGGGCAGCCATGTGCAGAAGAATGAAACCGGACCATTTCCTTACACCACACACAAAAATAGACTCTAAATGGATGAGAGACCTAAATGTGAGACAGGAATCCATCAAAATCCTAGAGGAGAACACAGGCAGCAACCTCTGCGACCTCGGCCACAGGAACTTCTTACTAGACACGTCTCCAGAGGCAGGGGAAACAAAAGCAATAATGAACTATTGGGGCTTCATCAAGATAGAAAGCTTCGGCCCAGCAAAGGAAGCCGTGGCCAAAACCAAAAGACAAGCTACAGAATGGGGAAGGTATTTGCACATGTCTTATCAGATTAAGGGCTGGTATCCGAGATCTATAAAGAACGTCTCAAACTTGACACCCAAAAAAACAAATGATCCAGTGAAGAAATGGGCAGAAGACACGAACAGACGTTTCTCCAAAGCAAACCTACACGTGGCCAACAGACACATGAAGAAATGCTCCACATCCTTCGGCATCAGGGAAATACAAATAGAACCACAGCGAGATCCCACCTCACACTGGCCAGAATGGCTAAAATCAGCAAGTCAGGAGACGGCAGGGGTTGGTGAGGATGAGGAGAAAGGGGGGCCCCCTGACCTGCTGGTGGGGATGCAGGCTGGGCAGCCGCTCTGGAGAGCAGTGAGGAGGGTCCTCAAGGGGCTGAATGTAGAGCTACCCTATGGCCCAGAAACGGCCCTACTGGGTACTTATCCACAGGACACAGACACGGTGATTCCAAGGGGCGCCTGCACCCCAACCTTTACAGCAGCAACGTCCACAAGAGTCCAAGTGTGGACAGAGCCCAGATGTCCATCGACAGATGAAGGGTAAAGACGTGGCCTATGTATACAACGGAGTGTGACTCAGCCGTCAGAAGAGTGAAATCTTACCACTTGTACAGCGTGGATGGAACTAGAGAGTATGATGCCGAGCGACATAAGTCAGTCAGAGAAACACAATTATGCCTTGACCTCACTTATATGTGGAATTTAAGAAACAAAACAGAGGATCATGGGGGGAGGGAGGGGAAAATACAGTAAGATGAACTCAGGGAGACAAACCACGAGAGACTCATAACTCTAGGAAACCAACTGAGGGTCACTAGAGGGGAGGCTGGGGGGACGGGGTGAGGGGGTGACGGGCACTAAGGAGGGCACGTGGCGGGATGAGCACTGGGTGCTGTGTGCAGCTTGTGAATCACTGACCTCTACCTCTGGAGCTAATGATACACTATATGTTAATTTATTGAATTTAAATTTAAAAAAAATTGATAGATCAAGTGAAAAAAAAAAAAAAAGACTGACCAAGACTCAGATGGCAGGATAAATACTGTGTGATCTCTCCTTATATGTGGAATCTAAGAACAAAAACCTATCTATCAGTTATATGTATCTATAGAACTACCCACCGATACAGAGAACAGATTGGTGGTTGCCAGAGGTGGAGGGCTGGGAAAAATGGTGAACTGCTTGTTTTTTATTTGTTAGTAAACTGAATAAACCTGCAGGCCTCCTCCCCTTGTTCCTTTTATTTAATAAAAACTAAAAAAAAAAAAAAAAAAAACTGAATAAAAGATATAAGACATTAAAAAATAGGGATCCCTGGGTGGCTCAGCGGTTTAGCCCTGCCTTCAGCCCAGGGTGTGATCCTGGAGACCCGGGATCAAGTCCCACGTCGGGCTCCCTGCATGGAGCCTGCTTCTCCCTCTGCCTGTGTCTCTGCCTCTCTCTCTCATTCTGTGTGACTATCATAAGTAAATTTAAAAAATTAAAAATAAATAAATAAATAAATAAGTAAATAAATAAATAAATAAAAGTAGAAGCCTGAAGCCTTCCACCTGATTGTGAGGGAGTCACGAGACACATGCACATGGAAAGACGTTCTGCAGAATGGCTGGCCTGCCCCGTTCCCAGAGGTTCACACCTGATGCAGGTACCTCTAACTGGACACCCCCGGGGGCAGCTGTGACAATGCATGATGCAGCTGAGCCACTGAGCCGGGAGCAAGCACTGAACACCCGGCCGGGGGTAGGGACCCAGCTTCCCAGCGTCTCCAGTCACCTATCAAAGGCAAATGTCTATGACAGGCATTCACTAGTGGGCAGAAAGGTGTTTTCAAAAAGTTTGAAATTTTACAAAATAGAAAGTGGGGAAAAATACTTTTAAGAATGTATCGGAGCAAAGGGGCACCTGGGTGGCTCAGCTGGTTGAGCGTCTGACTCTTGGTTTTGGCTAAGGTCATGATGTCAGTCCTGGGATCGAGCTCCATGTCAGGCTCCACACTCAGTAAGGAGTCGGTTTGTTCCTCTCCCCTACCCCATGTCTCCCTCTCTCTCAAACAAATAAAATCTTTAGGGAAAAAAGGGTGGGGGGAGAAACAATCAGAGGAAGATGGTCCTTCCACCTAAAAGATGGACAGTATCTGCCTTTTCCAGGCCCTGCCTCCCACTGGACGCTCACCAGCCGAATTGATGACGTGCCTCAGGACCTGCAGGGTGCCCACGCGGGTCCTCTCGTTGCTGGCGTCTAGCTTGGGCAGGAGGAAGGCCAGCAAGCGGTCAGGTGCACAGCAAGCTGCAGGATGACACACATTATTTGTAATAATCTTCGCTCCCTGCTTGATGTCAGCGCGTGCAAGCCTCAAGGGCTGGGCAGGATAACACCCGGGGCTGCAGCCCGGCCAGGCCTCCGCTCCACACAGACCCAGGAACAGGGAGACAAAGAAGCCTCCTCACCTCCAACCCGTGACCAAAGCTGTCACCCTACACAGCAGCGGTCCACAGGCCTCCACGGCGAGCAGACCCGCGCGTCCACAGATGGCCCTGCACGGGGGCTGCAGTCTGCTTACCCAGCACAGTGAAGCAGCGCAGCACCTCCTTTTGGTTGCTTACCACCAGGGGGCTGGACGACTCCACAGGCACGCAGATCTGGTCCGAAGGACAGAAGATGGACAACAGTTACAGGGGGGTATGCTGCCTCCCAGGGCCTGAGCAGCCTGGAAGGAAGGATACACGCTCCTGCGGACGTGGAGCCCCCACAATGACCATCCAGGCCTCATGGCTTCTACACCCACTACGCAGGCAGCACAGCCTGCAGGTGGAGGCCACTCCAGCAATTCCGGTGGGGCGACACAGAAGCACGAGTCCTGTGGTTAGAGGCTGCTGCGGTACCCGGGCCTACGCCCCTGTGGCAGGGGAGGGCGAGGACGGGAGGGGAACAGGGGCAGCACACTCTGCCCTTCCCACCAGCAGCCAGGAGACAGCTTCACACTTCCTTTGGGTACAGACTAGAAACCACTAGCTCTAAAACATAGAAAGTCCTGGAAACGGAAACACCTAGTGCTGATTCATTCAAAATTGTTAAAAAAAAAAAAAAAAAGTGGCATCGGTTAAAATAAAAACTGAAGCTGTGGGCAGGTGTGTCTCCGGGGTCCGCTGTTCCTCCGTGATGACACGGAGCCCCACACCCTCGGGGGGGGCTGAGGCTCTGAGGTGGCGACCAAGGCCCTACACCCCCTGTCCCAGGGGCGTGGCCACGACGCCAGTACCGGGCACAGTCCTGTGCTTCAGTACAGCCTGTCTTAGGAAGCACCAGAGGCGGTCAGCAGCAGAGTGAGTCCCGAAGCCGGACCCTGCTGGCTCTCAGAGGACAGGGGGAGCGGGCGCTGCAGGCACTGGCCCAGGCTCCACTCCTGGTTTTTCCCGCCGTAAAGACCTGAGCTACTCGTGAAGGGCACTGCAGCGGGCTCTCACTCCGGGAGACACGCAGCAGCCCCGCGGACCCAGCCCCGCGGCCAGAAACTGAGGCCTCCAGCCAACAGCCCCACGAGGACACCCTGGCGGAAGCAGCCCCCAGCCCTGGCCGAGCCTTCAGACTGTCAGCACCCAAGACCCCGAGCCAGGGCAACGCGCTGAGCTGTGCCTGGATCCCACACCCACAGTGGCTGTGAAATAACAAATGGCTGCCATTAGGTGCCAGGTTCCAGAACAATCAGTTGCACGGCAAGAGATAACTAACGCGAGTGGGCAATCATCTGCAAAGAAGAAAAAATTGGATTCTCACTCATGGTTTCCCTAAAATAAGTTCCAGGTGGGTTAAACAAGAGAAGTATATTGGGTAATAGAAGATCTGAAAACCAGTTTGCAGAAATCAAAAGGCTCCTCTAGATGTAACAGAACCTACGCCACCACACTAAAAACACGTAAACAGGGACGTAAGCGTTGGGTGATTCTGGTGGCAGAGAGCGGCACCAGGCGGGGGCAGGGGCCATGCCCGGGGGCAGGGGCGGACAGCCCGGGGGCAGATCTCAGCTGCTCTTCCATCCCTCGGGCCCTCTCCTGCCGTCGCCTGGCAGAGGTCGTGCTACTGTCACTCCTGTGACAGGCAACCTGGCTGACTTTACTCCTAGCTCTCATGTTCACGGACTGATTCCATTTGCAGCCAGGTGGATTTCTAGCCGAGGGAAGCCCTCCTGCAAACGACTAATACTGAGGGCCCTGGCGTGCCTGGGACTATGCCAGGTACTGTGTCCTGGACTGTGCCCGGTACTGTGCCCAGGACTGTGCCCGGTACTGTGTCCTGGACTGTGCCAAGTACTGTGACCAGGACTGCGCCAGGTACTGTGCCCTGGACTGTGCCCAGGACTGTGCCCGGTACTGTGCCAGGTACTGTGCCCGGGACTGTCCCCAGGCCAAGCACGGCAGAGAGGACACGCAGCCCTAGTGGTGGAGGCCGGCCACAGGCAGGACGCATCCCAGGGAGAAATGGGGCAGGGCAGGCAGGGGGCAGGCCAGGGTGGCCTACAAGGGCTCACGCCTGCCCTCCCCACCTCTCCCACAGACCTAGCCCGGGGCCCCCAGCAGGGAAAGGGGAGCCTTTCCCTTCAGGCCCAGGGAACGCGCCGTGTCCGCTCACCAGGAGCTGGGGGCTCTCACGGGCTAAAGACACTCCTCCCGGACCCACAGACCCCGGACCCGCACCGCTATGACTGTTACTGATAAGCAGGTGTTGAATGTCACTGTCACCAGCAGCTCCTTCCGCATCCCTGAGTCCGGCGCCTGTCCCTGAGGTGCTGCCGAGGGCGCGTCCTGCCGGCTTCTCGGGCCGTCCTTCCGGGGGTGGGGGACGCGGGGTCGGCCAGCTCTGGGGCCCACCCACACCACACACAGGCTTTCCCCGCGCTGCTGACACCTCGGGGGGCAGCTCTGAACCTTTGCCTGCTCCCCAAACCATGGGTGGGATACAATGGGGAAACCTCCACCCCGGAGCCGCGCAGCCTGGGGTGGCTACCCGCACCTGCCTGCTGGCCCAGCTCAGTGCTCCAGGTCTCCTGCCAAGCTTGACATTTTTATCTTCTTAGGGATCTACCCACCTCACTGCTCCTCCAGCTCCTCCAGGGGCGCGGTGCTGGCTGGGGGCCCCGTGGGGCGGGCGGACCGCTGCAGGAGGGCCCCCAGGGCCAGGAGACCCCCCGCTTCTCCCCAGCGCCTCTTGTTGTGCCCTCTCCAGGACTCGCTCCCGCCACTGCACACCTGCCCCCGTGTTCCTGTGACCTCAACAGCTCGCAGGCCCACTGAAGCAGGCTCAGTGGACCCCTCCCTCATAGGCACCTGCCCCCCAGCAGCCCCAGATCTCCTCTGCTCTCTCTGCCTGCACCCTGCCCTCTGGACCCACAGCCAGTGCAGACCCCAGGCCATCTCAGGCCTCTCTGGCCCTGGGGCCACCCATCCCTGCCGGGGCAGGAGCTCCATGTCAGGGGCCACGCCCACGACCCAGGGACCACCCTTGCTGCAGTACCACTAGGCTGGACAGCCCACCCCACTCCTGCTCCCTGCCAGCCTTAGCAGGCACCTGCACCAAGACCTGGTGACAGGCGGCACCCAGACCTGCCCCTGTCATGGCAGTGGTGCTACAACGTGGCCCCAGCTCGGGACCCCAGCCTGCCCCACCACAGAAGCCCCCATCCCCATCTCCTGCGCGTCCTACCTGAGCATGCAGAGCAGCCAGGAGCAAGTCCAGCTGGGCCTCCAGCGTGCGGCTGCCCACACCCACCGCAGCCTCAAGGATCTGACCCAGGCTCTGCTCAAGCAGGGAGGAGAGGGGCCATCATCCCTCTCCCAGGCTCCAGCCCCACCCCCTGGCTGCAGAGACCCCACCTCAGGGTTCAGATAAGGGAGCTCTACCTCCACGTCAGGAATTTAGAGAGGAGGGAAAGACTCAGGACAGGGGGCCATGGACCCCAGGCACCACAGAGTCCAGCAGCACCCTCTGAGCCACCCTTCCTCCCATCTGACCCGGGTGGGGACGGGCCGGTGGACAGAGCTCTGCACAGGCACAGCACGCAGGAGCACACCTTGGACACGTGGAAGGCCTCCGCGTGCTTCCTGTAGAGGGCCACGACTCCGGGCAGGAGCTTGGGGAGCTGCTCCTCCAGCTTCTCGCTTGGGAGCAGGTGGCTCATGGGCCCCAGGGCCTCCACCACAGCGAGCCGGAGCTGACAGGAAGAGCGATACGGTGCTCAGGCCCAGACCACTGACCCAAACCGAAGCCCAAGGCCCATTCGCCAAGAATCCAGGGGCCCAAGTGAGAAAACCCACGTTACCATGTGACCAGGGGGTCCTCGAGGGGTCCAAGGGCAGAGAGGTCGGTCAGCATGACCATGGCCAGGCTCTGGACAGCAGAAGGCCAGCGAGGCCATGAAGGAAACACCACGGGGCACCCACCAGGCCCCAGCCCCCTCCCCCACGGGCAGTGCAGGAGGGAGCCTCCAGGCAGGCTGGGGCAGAGCCGAAAACAAAGCAGATGTCACAGAGCCCTGGCACAGGGCACCTCCACTCCCTGCGGAAACCCCCACTTCCTGAGTCGGCCAACAGGGAAGCAGGGGACAGCTGGCTCCACCCCCACCCCCCACCCCGGCCAACCCCCTCCCCCAAAGCCTAAAGCACGGGGGCGGGGGGGGGGGGGGGCGCCCAGCAAGGTGAGACCACGCTTCCCTGCACACCCAAGAGGCGCTACCTTGGCTTCACGGCTCTGCATCCAGTGGTTAAAGAGGACGTCGTACGCACTGAAGATGTCGGAGGCGAAGGTGTCCTTCCTGACCGTGGGGTCTGGGGCTTGGTCCAGGTTGGCCAGATACTCCAGGGTGCTCTCGCTGAAGTGCTGCAGAGCTGTCACAGGGGCAAGTGGCTGCAGGCCGCTGGCCACACACACTCACTGCTAACACTACATCGGCATCCTGCCCCTTCTCGCGCCCCCAGAAACCTGCAAGACACCTTCCCAAGCACAGGGGCCAAGTGCAGGACTTCGGGACGACAGTGGGGGGATGAACAGTGGGGTGAACAGCATCCCCCCACATCCACGTCCTTCCAGAACCTCAGGAGGTGACCTTTTTTGGAAAGAGGAGGTTTGCAGGTGTAACTACTTAAGATGTGGTCATGGTGGGACTGGGGGGCCTAACTCCTACGTGACTGGGTCCCTAGAAGGGAACACACAGACCCACAGACAGCAGTGTGACAGCAGGACACAGACTGGGGCCCAGACGGCAAGGACGCTGGGGGGGACAGGGAGCAGACTCCCTCGGAGCCCCCAAGAAACCAACCCTGGGCACAGCTGGACCTCAGACTTCCAGCCTCTAGAATCATGAGAATACTTTTCTTTTCTTCTGTTTTTTTTTTTAAGATTTGAAATAATCCCTACACCAACGTGGGGCTCAAACTCACAACCCTGAGACCAAGAGTCACGCGCCCCACTGACTGAGCCGCCAGGTGGCCACGTTTCTCTGCCTTAAGTGCCCCGACTTGTGGTGCTGTGTTACGGCAGCACTAGGAAGCCAGCGCAGGGACCAACGGCCCCGGAACGCCACTCTCGCCAGTGGGCCCACCTCACCCCTCACAGAAGGACACAGAAGCCACACACTTTGCGAGGGTCGCTGCGTCCAGGCTGGACTAGGGCCTGAGACAGCGAGCTGTGTCTATGACAGCGACTGCGTTTGTGGACATCCGGGGGGGCAAGCCCAGGCACAGCTGAAGACCTACATGTGGGCAAGGGCTGAACCCCGGGTCAAGCGAGGGGCCGACGCTGGGGCCCTGTCGCGCCACCCAAGCCTCCTGGGGAGGGGACCACACGCGCGTACAGCACCTCGGAGGCAGGCCCGGTGGCCCTGCTCCAGCACAGTGCTCACACGGCCCGCTCGCTTGGCCAGCCTCTCAGCGAGGGCTCCCCAAGCAACAAGACTAAGCCTGACCCCGACGTGTACACGAGAGCGGTCACAGTTAGGGGTTCCCAGAAGAGAGAATTTAAAGAGATTTCAGAAGAAAACCACCTCCTGGTGCCCTTGTGTGTCACCGCGGCAGGCAGCCTCGCCTCCAGCAGAGCGCCAGGAGGCCTCGCGCCCCAGCAGCCACGCGCTGCGCCACCTCGGCAGGCCGAGACCTGCCCTCGTCCTCCCTTGCCTCTCCGAGCTCTGTAATCAGGATGTGGTCACGCTCAACGGTGTCCTTGGCATCTCGGGGTGAATTTGTTCAGGGTAAGAGACCCCTGTACTGCTGGAAGCAGAAATTGACCTCCCCGCTGCGTTACAGGCTTGTCAGCTTTCATCCGTTACACACACAGGTAGCGGGTCCAGGAGCCAAGCTCGTGTTCCGTCCCCAGCCTCCAGCAGCAAGTGCTGTGATAGATCTTGGTCTTGCTGATGCAGGCTCTGCCCCCTGCCCCCCGCGGCCAGGGCACCAGCTTTGCACCCCCATCACTGTTTTACCTCCAAGTCTCACTGGCTCTCCAGGCAGGGTCACTAATGCCACCTCTGCGCGTCCTGCCAACATCCTGGGCCTCCCTCGGCCACGCCCCCAGGGACCCCGCACCCTCCCCCCACTCAAACAGCACCCAGGCAGGCCTGGCCACTTCCATCAGTTCGCAGCACCCTCCCTGGCGCAGGAGCGGGGGCTGTCCCACTTCCTCAGTGTCCTCTGGGACCATTTCCCCCACAAAAGCATCTTGGTGTGGGTGCTCGGAGGACCTTCCCCCCGGAACCCCCAGCTCCGGGGCAAGGCTGGGGACGCCACAGCTCTTCCACCCACTTGCTCCGTTCATTCTTTCTAGGGTGTCTGCTGTTCAAACGCAACTTCATGCCAATCCTTCCTTCTCTATTTTCCATATGTTTCTATTTTGTTCTATTTTCTGGGGGATTTCCTCAACCTTCTCTTTCATTTCTGGTTGCCATCTGTTGTCATGTTTCTAACCCCGAAAAGCTCAGCTGTGCTCCCTGAAAGGAGCTGCCTCCTGGCGACGTGCTCTGCCGTCCCCCCTCAGCTCCCTGAGGGATTGCTCACGCCTTCTCTCTCCTGCCCGCTCCCCACGGGCCCACGGCTGTTCACGTGGCTGCTGCTCCTCTCCGAGACTCTCCTCACAGGCACTCATCTGGGGCTACTGCTGCTGGGAGGACACACCTGGCTGTCTGGGGGAGGCCAACTTCACCTCTGGCGTCCCAGCTCTTCCCCCGCCAGGCCGCAGGGTCCTAGGAACTCAACCAGTGAGGACCTCCAAGCATGCACTAGATCCTGTCCTTGGCCCGGTGCCTCCATCCTCAGCTGGACCGGGGCCCTCCCTACAGTGGCCACAGACCCGCTCCTCGTGCTTGCGGGCCCCACATGGCAGCAGGAGGGGCCATTCTCCCATCCAACCGCAGGCAGGACTGCAGTTTGTGGCGAGGAACACCCACCCTGCCACAAGGACATCCCACAGTGGGCGTGAGCTCCTGAGACCCACTGGCTTCACGCACGAAGGAAGACCAGCCGTAGCGAATGGTGTCAGGGGCACTAGGCCCGTGAAGGGGAAGGAGTAGGTTCCTCAGTGCGGCGGGGCAGCCTCGGCAGCTGCAGCTTCTGGGTCCCTCCAGAGGAGCCACATGGGTGGCCAGCGATGGGGCCTCGGCTGGGCCATGGGGCTCTCCTTGATCCCCCTGCAGCCCGGGTGCACCCAGACCTAGGTGGCCCCCCAGCCCTCCTGCCTTGTTTCCTGCGCCTGTGAGTATATAGCGGAGGCTCAGGCCCACGCAGCCCACGCAGCCCACGCGGTCTGTCCCTCTGCGTCCCGCTCTGCATTCCAGCTCTGGGGATGTCCCAGCTCAGCTGCCCCGGGAGCCTGTCACAAACTCCCTGTTCAGCCAGAACTAGGTCAAGGAGGGGCTCTGTGTCCAACCGCGGGAGGGGCCATCACCCGCAGCAGGAGGAGCCTATGAGGAGGCAGGAGAGCCCATGGCGGGGACAGTGAGAAGGGGGTGGCAGCAGCTGGAGGCCCTCCCGGGGCCCCAGGGCCCACAGCTCCAGGCCTGCCTCCAGAGCTCCCAGGTGTGCACAGGCTGGCAGCCCAGCACACAATGGGCAGCAACAGGGCAAGGCCTCAGCTGAGCTCTGGTGGCCCTGACCCTACCCTGTCTAGGACCCTCCTGACCAGAGTCCTGTTCTCAGGGTCCCAGCTGCCCCGGGGCCCCCCACCCCCTTCGGCGCCGGAGTCGGCAGTGCTGCTGATGAAGGGTAAGGGCAGGCTGGTGGCTGCTGAGGGAGCCCCCCGCACCCCTCTGGGTCTCAGGAGCCTCTGCTCCCCTCCCCCAGGAAAGCCTCCCTTTCCACCGAGGGCACGCCCCCTGGTGCCATCCCTTGCCTGGGCACCCAGGGGGAAGCAGACTCAGGAGGAAGGAGAGCGAGTGGCCCCACTGGAGACGCCGGGCACTGAGCAGGGAGAAAAATGAGAAGTCTCTGGGCTGTGGGGAGGCATCTTTCCACACTGCCACTAGTGCCCAGGCCGAGGAAGCGCACTGCAGGGCAGAGGGGTCCCACCAGCAGCCCAGCAAGCATAGGCCGCCCACGGCTCCACCCTCACTGTGAGTGCTCACCCCCCTCCTGCAGCCTGCACTCATGACCCTCCGCAAAGACCCAGGGGAGGGCAGGCAGCTCCCAACCCCTCCCCGGAGACCGCACCCGCCCTCAGGGAACCCATCTTACCACAACAAAAGGCTACCCTCATCGTATCGTGCTTGGCCATGCCCAGCATGGGCAGCATGGTGCTCAGGATGGACGTCAGGAAGGGAACCATGCCGAACACTGTGAAGAAGAAGGGGCAGGTGACCGAGGCACCCGCCTATCCTGGCCTGGCCTCCGTGCACCCCCTGCATCCAGGGACAGGCAGAGGGTGCCTGGGCCACGTAGCCTGGGGCAAGGTGCGGAGAGGCCCTCCCGGCTCCTCCGGGACGCAGGTACGTACCATTGGAAGCCGCGAGGTTGGCGAGGGTCTGCACAACATAGTAGTGGGGCAGGGCGCCGGGCTGGAACTTGCTCAGCACTTCCTCCACCACCTTGCCGATGAACCGCTTCCCAACAGCCACCAGGACATTGCTGGCGGCCTGCTGCCAGTCGCAAACCAATTCCTGTCCCCCCACCCCAAAACCTGCACTGATGGCCTGACCGAGCAGAGGAGACAGGACCTCACCCTCTCACAGCCAGAGAGGCAACAATGAGACCTTCTGCCCTGTTTTCAGGCTCTCCCAAGGCCCCCCCCAGGCCAGGAGCAGGGCAAGGGCAGTGCCTCCCCCAAGAGCCCAGCACCACCCCGGATGCTGGGATGCAGGCACTGGTGCCCTTGTTTGCCCTGACAGCTTAGGAACTGTGCTCTGCCTCAGTTCCACTGAAGTTATGGGTGGCCCTCCCTTCGCCAGCAGGGCAGTAGGTGTGTAGGAGGGAGGGCCCAGCCCCAGAGAGCCACACACAGACCCGTTTTCTTAATGCACTTGGGTAGAAAGTTCTAGTAAAGAAACTTCCCTCCCCCTACCTTTGCCCGGGTCATCTCACTGGAGGCCAGGAGGATGACGGCCCTGGCCACGTCTTTGTCCAGCTCGCTGATGTGACCGCTCACAACTGTCTCCATGGCCCTCAGGATCATCGTCCGGTAAGGATGTGCCAACTGAGCAGAGAAACCACTGAGGAAGATCCTGGAAGCTGAGCCCAGCACCCAGGCACCCTGCCGACCCCTCCTGCGTCTACAAGGGCTCCTGAAAACAAATCACCCTGGCTGCCCAACAGGAGGAAAGGAGCACAGCTGACCGTTCCCCGCACCCCCAGAACCTCGGTGCCTCGTACAGAAAAGGGCCGTGATCGGGTGTGGGCCCAGATCGTCAGCAGCACCACAAGCGCTCCATGCAGGAACCAGGATGAGCAGATGTAGCCCCCGCTGTGGCCAGGGTCTCTGGCCAGAAGCTCCCCTGCCCCAAGAGGCCCTATCACCAGGAATTCTTCTGGCCCTGCACGTGCCTGTCAGGGGACACAACCTGCTGGGTCCTCTCACTCCGGGTCCTCCCCCCACTCAGGGGACCTTCCCACCCCCAAGCCCCTCCCTAACCCCCACCCGGGGGATCGTCCGTCACCCCCTGCCAAGCGAGCACAAGCATGCTCGAGTGTCCTGAGACTACAACGTAAGAGCACGGTGCTGCCCGGCCCCGGCCCCACATGGCCACCACCCGAGGCTCTCTCTGTGGCTCCGGGGGCGGGGAGGGGGGAGGGCCCACTGGCCTCGCCCCCGGGTGAACCCTGCACAGGTCCTGCCACCAGCCACAGCCCTCAGCAGCACCCTGCCACCGCGACCCCACCTGCCACTCATCCTCTCCTTAATTGAGGACTGGTGAAGCTGCAGGTGGGGGGCCAGGGGCTGGGTGGCAGGCCGGGCCATCGGCTCAATGATAGTGCCCACCCGGTCCCGGGGAAGGAGCCCCCAGGTCTCAGAGTCTGGAGGACAAGGCAAGAGAGTCGCAGGAGGCAGGGAAGACCGAGGCTGGCCTTACCCTGAGGGCCCCCGCCTCCAGGAATGGAGCGGCCAGGTTGGGGGGCACACTGTGTGCAGCAGGTGCCGCGCCCGAGCTGGGTCAGGACCAAGCTTGTGCGCCAGAGAAACACAGCCGACGCTGACAGCAGGGGTGACGGCCTACGGCGCGGCTCAGCCAGGCCAGGGCTCCCTCCCACGGAGGCCAGAGAGCCCTGGCCACACCACACCACGCCCACAGACAGGCAGGATTTTTGTTCCTGAAAAAAGCCAACACCCGTCATAAACATCTCTAGATACATGAACAGATCACGGGAAACCTGCCCTGGTTTTCTGGGCCAAAGCTCGTCTTCGGTTTTGTCCTGATAATAAATGTTGTCAAAACTCCTCTGACCACACATGCGAGGCTTTACTTGACCCTATTCCATTGGTCTGTGTGTCTGTCTCTAGCTGGTCTCTACCACTGTTTGACCCCAGCAGCTCTCTAGTAAGTTTTGAAGTCGAGAAGTGAGCCCCTCTGGCCTTGTTCTCTGTCAGCACTGCCTGGGTAATATCTGGGGCCCCTTGAGATTGCACATGAATTTGAGGATGGCATTTTCTACTTATGCAAAAAAAAAAAAAAATCCTCACTGAAATTTTGCTAGGGACTGCTCATTATTTGATAATTTGATAGAGCTGCGCTTATTTTTAAAGAAAAGGGTTTTTCCCCATTTTCCATTGCTCTGCAAAGTTCAATGGGCAGAAGAGCAGTCACATCAGAGCGAGGTGTAGGTAACGTTCCCTGACGAGGTTCCATGGGCCTCAGCAGGCTCGGCACGCACAGGGGTAACGCCACGGCCCTCTGGGTCACTCTAGCACTGCAGGATCCGAACTGGGACAGACAAGGAGCAGCGCACAGGCTCGCCTGCTGCCAATACAGGCCTAGGGCAGGTGTGGGCCCGGCCTTAGCCACGGGACACAAAGCTCAGTCACCACATGGTCCCCGTGTAGCCACCTCAGGTCCCGGCCTGAGTGTGTAGAAGCTGCTCACTTAAGCAGACTGGGATTGTAACCCCAGCAGAATAACTAACCGCACCAAAGAAATTCTCTGCTCCAGCTGCAACTGTGTCCCGTGTCACTCTGTTCTGATGTCGGGATCAAAGTCCCTTACGTGACTGGGGAATCCGTTCCACTCCTAATGGGGGGAGTGGGTTCACATGGTTCGTGCTGAGTGGCCCTGGGCAACAGGACCCACACCCACACGTGGGCTTGCCTGCTGCGGACCCTGCAGCCTCCATGGGGGGGACCTGGAGTGTGCTGACGAGCGGCCCTTCAAAACTCCCTTACGGTAGTATGACTTTCTAGAGAAAACCAGCCCAGAAAAGCAGTAAGAACAGAGAGAACAAAAACTCCAATCACTATTTGGAAGCTTGGTTTCCAAACTGTAACTTATTACAGGATCCCCTGAGATTCCTATGTGGAAACCTAATCCCAAAGTGATGGCAGTGGAAGCAGGGTTTTCGGGAGGCGAGTGGGCCATGAGGGTGGAACCCCACCAGTGGGGTCGGTGCCTTCTAGAGAGACCCCAGAGAACCCGCCTGCCCTCCGCCGTGGGAGGACATGGCAAGAAGGTGGCCTCTAAACCAAGCAGTGGGTCCCCAGCACACACAGAATCTGCCGCAGGGTGACCTTGTACCCAGGCCCACAGAACGGTGACTGGTGACTAGTACAAGCCTGCTATTGCTGGCGTGACCCCGACACACCAAGGTGGCTATTTCTGCCCCTGTTTCCCCAGGCACTTGTCTCCCACACTCCCTTTGGGGACAGTCCGTGGGATGTGAAGCGTGTGCACACTGTCCGAGGCGTGACCCAGGCAAGCTGTGATGAAGCATAAGGACGTGGCAGAAACTGGAAGTGAGGCAGCCTAGGGGAGAAGGAGGTGCCTGCAAGGGAGCAGCCTCTGTAGGAGAGCTTCCCACATCATGTGGGAAATATGCGAAGGTAAAGGAAGATCCTCATTTTTTAGTTGGTTAAATAAACCAAAAACGCTGGAAGAGGGGTAAAACCATGAGCTAGAAAATGACAAGCATGAAGCACACTTAATTTTCCAACGAATCACTATAGCTAACCGAGGCCCTGGCAGCTGCCTCCAGGAGGCACTCCCTGGCCACAGCCACACCCTCAAGTGGCCAGGGCGGCCCCAATCTGCTTTCACAATCAGACGCTGATTCAGCGCATCACGGCGATGGAGCCTATCAGCCCACGGAGAAGGACCCTGGGGTCTGGCACAGCAGCAGCACGAAGCTCCACAAACCACAGAAGAGCCATGGAGGATGCACACGGTGCCCAAGCGTGGGGGTGTGCCTTCCCGATGCACGCCACCAACGGGGCATCTGCAGTCACAGTGCCCACGGGCGCCCTACGGCTCCTGCACAAGCACATAAGCCCGAGGACAGCGAGGAGAGCCACAGGGAGGAAGGAGAGGCCCTCAGCATGAGGTGTCACAGGGCTGCCGCTCAGCAGGACGCAGTTGATCCAGGAGAGGATCAGCTCCCGCTGTAGAGAGATCCCTTTTTATCAAGGTGTCAAATCAAACAAAAAGAAAAATGGTCTTTTAAGGCTACAGAAGTCTCTCTCCCTTCCAGGATGGGCCCAAACCACATACTGAGACGGCACACGACTGCTCCAGAGGAGAGGGAGCCAGCAGTGTCAAAGACAAGGCCCAGGGGCCGGCAGCAGGTCCAGGAGAGGAGCTGGCTCCAGGCCTCCCCACGGCACGGGCGGGACATGCTGGGCAGCAGTGGCACCGAGACCCCAGGAGTGTGTCACACCTCTGCCAAGTTAGCAATCTGCAGGAGGGCAGCGAGGGAAAGGCCCCGGCCTCCTTGGGCGGCCCCCGCGGAGTCAGAGCACTGGTCCACCTGTCCCTCATTGCAGCTGATGACAAGGGGATGTTCCCCCTTGGGGGGCAGCACAGAGCCTGGCAGGAAGAGCTGTCCGGCCTCTAGCCAGTGAGTGAATGGGGATGGCAACACCAGGACAGCTGGACACTGTGCTGCTGACCAGCCCCACCCAGTGCCCCGTGACGGGACCAACCCACAGGCCACAAGGCACAGCGGCTCGTCTGCCCTGGAAACGCCCCATCTCTGGGGAACTTGGACTTGCAGGTGTGGCTTTCTGCCCACAGCAACCTGGCTCCACAGGTCTGGGCCCACCCTCCCCAGCAGACCCCGCCCCAAAGCGGCAGCCCCCCAGAAGGGCAGCTCACCTGCCCCCCACCCCGCGGCCCTGGCAGGAATACCTTCTCATGCTGCCACAGGTACTCCTCACAGGCTCTGAGTACCTCCGCTGGCTGTGCGTCTCCCAGGGCACACAGGGCGCCACACACCTGCTCCTGCACCAGAGGGTCCTTGTCGGTGACAGCATCCAGCAGGATGGTGGACAGCTCTACGAAGACAAAGCCCAGGGTGTGCGCTCAGGCCCGGCCAACCCTACCAGCTGGAGGTCGCCTGCCCCCTCACACTCCTGCACTCTCCCGCTGCCTCAGCAACCACCCTGCCGCCCACTGCCTGGCCCCCTTACACACCTCAGCCATACACACCTGAGGCACCCGTGCTGCCTCCCTCCACCTTGCTTGCCAGGGTCCCTGGGGCCCACTGGCGCCTGCTCTGAGGGCACTCTGGCTAACTCTACCCTGACCTTACACCCCAGGCTGGGTTTGCTTCACATCTCCTGCCCCCACTGGACCGCGGCTGCTGTAAAACGCAGATGTTACAGGCTGAGGGCCAGGTGCCTCAGGTGCCTCAGGAAGCTGCCCCCAGGTGGCCAACTGCCCCATGCTAGGGAGTCCGGAGTCCCACCAACTGCACCCAAAGACGACTCATCAATCCCATCTCCACTGGTCAATGCCCTACACCCTCCTGACCAGTTCCCCCCCGGCCCCCCTGGACAGGACCCTGTCACCCTCGGTGTCCCTGGAGCACAGGGCGTGGTGCTTGCCATGGTGCTTCTAGCACCTCACTCCTGGAGACAGAGCTCTGTGGGGCAGGGATGGGTCTCCTCGTGAGCTCAGCAAACTGCTGGCCGCGGCTACAGGGACAGAGCAGACAGCCAGAGCGGCTACTGGAGCCAGGCCTTGTGTAGAAGGGACAAAGGTGCAGGGCCCAGCAAGCACCACTCCCCGCGACGCCCTGAGCCAGTGGCCTACCCGCCCATTCGGCAGCTGCAGAGACAACTACTACAACTGCTTTGGTTTTCGTTGTCGTCATTGCTTCCTAGGGAACGTTGCTTCCTAGTGAACACGGAGAGAAAGCCACCCAGGCAACAGCCCTTCCCTCCCACCCTACAGGTGCCTATTCCACCCCTTGTCCCGCCCTAGGGGCCCACGCAGCCCACGCACTCACTCCTCACGTAGGGCTCTGTCATCTCGGCTTCCCTCACCCGGCGTGAGCATGGACAGCTTCTTTGCTTCTGGAGAAAGCAAAAGCAAGAGGTCAGCCGTCCGCCTTTCAGTTTACAGCCAGTCAGTGTTTGTGTAAAACATGAGCCCCAGGATCCCTGGGTGGCTCAGTGGTTTAGGGCCTGCCTTCAGCTCAGGGCATGATCCTGGAGTCCCGGGATCAAGTCCCTCATCAGGCTCTCTGTGAAGAGCCTGTTTCTCCCTCTGCCTGTGTCTCTGCCTCTCTCTCTCTCTGTGTGTGTCTCTCATGAATAAATAAAGTCTTTACAAAAAAATTAAAAAAAAAAAACAAAACAAGAGCCCCTGGGGGTGCTCCGTCCACTGAGCTTCTAACTCTTGATTTTGGCTCTGCTCATGATTGTGGGATCCTGGGACGGACCGCACTTTGGGTCCCATGCTCTGTGGGGAGTCGGCTTGAGACTTTCTCCCTCTCTCCGCCCCCTCCCTGTTCCACACGTGCTCCCTCTACAAAAATTTAAAAAAAAACAAACCCTCATTAAAAAACCCCACATGATTTCAGTCCCTTTTCCTGGGGGAGCTATCTGCCCCAGCTGGCAACCCTGCCAGGCTGTCTCCAGCCCACATGGGGACCCGGGCAAGTGCGGTCACTGCCTCCACCTACAGCAGCCTCCTTCACTCCGTAAAGAGAGGGCACACGGAAGGCTGGCATCACTGGCAGTCCGTGCGAAGCAGGGAAAGCTGCCCCGAAGGCCAAGAACAGGGCCCCCAATCTTGGCAGGCTCAGGTGCCCCGGGACGAGAGTTCTAGCACAGCGCTCAGTGAGTCTCCCTGGCCTGAAGCTGCATGAGCAGCATGGGGATCCAGTGGGTTCCCAGGCACCAGAAACCAATCATCCAAATAGCCCATGGCATTGGAGAGGTGCTGCTCTCGGGGACCCCGGGTGACTCCGTGGGTTGAGCATCTGATTCTTGGTCTCAGCTCAGGTCACAGTTTCAGGGTCATGAGGTGGAGCCCCACGTCAGGTTCCACACTCACTGGGGAGCCTTCTTGAGATTCTCTTCCTCTCCCTCTGCCTCTGCCCCTGCCTTACTCTCTCTCTCAAATAAATAAATCAATCCTAAAAAGGGGGGGGGGCAGTTTTCAAACAGTGCACACCTTGAAACAACCCAAAGAATAAAGTCTGTCAATACGCTAGTGCCTCTGCCTCTTCGCCACATGGTCACAAGCTCAAACCTATGTCATACTCTCCAAGGTCCTTAAGGTCAGAGGGGCGGTAGACCCTCAGCGTGGTGGCTGACACTATCACGGACGCCTCCTGTTTGCTGGCAACTCCGCCACCCCTCACCAATCACTTCCTCCCTGGGCCCTCCCCTCACTACCTCTCACACACAAAAGGACACAGATGATACAGGCGAGTTGCCGTGACCTCCCCTAACCGAGCCAGACGACACCCACCTGCCTACGGACATACAGCAAGGAAAGCAGCACAGTGAGAAATCACGGGGTGTGTGGTAGCAGAAACACAAGTGAGAACTCTAGTTCAGGAAGGCAGGCCAGCCCCAAGTTTGCATCCAGCCCACCAGAACCTCAACAAAATGACAGAAAAGATGCAAGTTTTTTTAAAAATTTTCTTTTAAAGTAATCTCTCTACACCCAGTGTGGTGCTTGAGCTCACAACCCCAAAATCAAGAGTCTCGTGCTCTACTGACTGAGCCAGCCAGGTGTCCCAGTGATGCAAGTCTTAAAAGAATAAATCCACAAAAGCACTAGAAAACCAGATAAAATTAGCAAACCAGAAATCTCCAGGAATCCCAGGCAGATAGAAAGCAGATGGAGAAGACTCTGGTTTGAAGATGCTGGCATCAGCAAGGTGTTTCCCCTTTCTTCCTGGAAAGTATCTAAAAGTACACATTTCATTTGTGGCAGAGCAAGAAGGTGGCAAAAAAAAAAAAAAAAAATCCCAAATCCCGGGCAGCCCGGGTGGCTCTGGTTTAGCATCGCCTTCAGTCCAGGACATGATCCAGGAGACCCAGGATCGAGTCCCACGTCAGGCTCCCTTCATGGAGCCTGCTTCTCCCTCTGCCTGTGTCTCTACACCCCCGTCTCTATGAATAAATAAATAAAATCTTTAAAAAAAAATCCCAAATCCTAAAAGAACGATAGGCTGAAAATGTTGCAGCTGTCAGGCAGGGTATGAGGTATGCTGGCAGCAGGTTCCAGAAAGAGTCCAAAGATACTTCTCAAAGGCGGTGGGACATCATCAGATAGAACCCAAACCCTGTGGGCAGCCCGGGTGGCTCAGCGGTTTAGCGCTGCCTTCAGCCCAGGGTGTGATCCTGGAGACCCGGGATCGAGTCCCACGTCAGGGTCCCTGCATGGAGCCTGCTTCTCCCTCTGCCTGTGTCTTTGCCTCTCTCTCTCTCTCTCTCTCTCTCTCTCTCTCTCTCTCTGTGTGTGTGTGTGTATGTGTGTGTGTTGCTCATGAATAAATAAAATCTTTAGTAAAAAGAAAAGAAGAGACGAGAAAAGAAAAAAAAAAGAAAAAAAGAACTCCCAACAGGCCATGAATGAAGCTACTCCCAGCAGCCAGAGGGGACAACATCACAACTCACAGCGTATTGGGAAGGGCATTCAAAAGGGCTTTGCCACAGTAAAAAAATTAGCCGTAAAATAAATGCTGTTCTGGTCTTATCTAACAAAGCTAAAAGTAAGACCTGAAAAAATCAAATTATTTCTAAGTCACTTAGCTACATCCCAGCACAAAGTTCAAGAATCATAAGAGAAACGCAAAAATATCCAGCACCAACAATGTCTGGCATCCAATCAAAAATTACCAGGCATACAAAGAAGCAAAAAAATACAACCCATAATGAAGATGAATCCAGCAATACAAACTGATCCAGAAATGATGGAGAAAAATTAGTAGACAAGGACATTTAGACAGTTTCATATACTGTACAAATTATAGATTTCTCTATAATTGGCAAAACAACTGTACATATAATCAGTAAGGGTACAGAAGACCTGAACAATACTGTCAACCAACTTGACCTAAGTAGTATTTACAGAACTGTCTATTCATCAACAGGAGAATATATATTCTTTCCAAAAGCACATGAAATATTTACCAAGACTGATTATATTCTGGGCAGTAAAACAAATCTCAGTAAATTTAAAAGAACTCAAGTTATACAGGGACACCTGGGTGGCTCAATAGTTGACCGACTGCCTTCAGCTCTGGGCATGATCCCAGGGTTCCAGGATCAAGTCCCCCATCAGGCTCCCTGTGAGGAGCTGCTTCTCCCTCTACCTGTGTCTCTGCCTGTCTGTCTCTGATGAATAAATAAATAAAATCTTTAAAAAAAAAAAAAGAATTCAAGTCATACAAAGTTTTCTGACTACAATGGAATTAAATTAAAAATCAGTAAGAGAGGGATCCCTGGGTAGCGCAGCGGTTTGGCGCCTGCCTTTGGCCCAGGGCGCGATCCTGGAGACCAGGGATCGAATCCCACGTCGGGCTCCTGGTGCATGGAGCCTGCTTCTCCCTCTGCCTGTGTATCTGCCTCTCTCTCTCTCTCTCTCTCTCTCTCTGTGACTATCATAAATAAATTAAAAAATATATATTAAAAAAAAAATCAGTAAGAGAGGGATCCCTGGGTGGCACAGCAGTTTAGCGACTGCCTTTGGCCCAGGGCGCAATCCTGGAGACCCGGGATCGAGTCCTACGTTGGGCTCCTGGTGCATGGAGCCTGCTTCTCCCTCTGCCTGTGTCTCTGCCTCTCTCTCTCTCTCTCGCTGTGTGACTATCATAAATAAAAATTTATAAAAAAAATCAGTAAGAGAAAGCCATCTGAGAAATCCTCTAATATTTTAAAAACTACTCAATATGCTTCAAAATAATGCATGAGGCAAAAAAGAAATCAAAAGTAAAATTAGCATTTTGAAGTGAATGAAAATGAAAAAATATATCAAAATTTGGGGGAAATTTATAACACTAAATGTCTGTATTAGAAAAGAAGAATGTTGTGATCTTCCACCTTAAGAAACTAGACACTCAAGGGTGCAGGGATGGCTCAGTTGGTTAAGCGTCTGACTCTTGATATTGGCTCAGGTAATGATCTCATGCTCATGGGATCAAGCCCCATGTCAGACTCTGTGCTTAGCGTGGATGGAGTCTGCTTATCCCTCTCCTTCTGCTCCTCCCTCCACTCATGTGCTCTTTCTCTCAAATAAATAAAATCTTTTTTTTAAAGATTTTATTTATTTATTCATGAGAGACACAGAGAGAGGCAGAGACATGAAGCAGAAGGAGAAGCAGGCTCCATGCAGGGAGCCTGACATGGGACTCGATCCCAGGACTCCAGGATCATGCCCCAGGCCTCAGGTGGCGCCAAACTGCTGAGCCACCCAGGTTGCCCTCAAATAAATAAAATCTTTAAAAAAAACTAGACACACAAATGAACCAAAAGGAAATAATAGATATTAGCACATAAGACAAAGAAATAGAAAACAGAATAGAAAAAAAATCTATGATACCAATGGCTAGTTATTTGAGAAGATCAATAAATTTGATAACCTCTAGCCTGACAGATCAGGAAAAAAAGACACAGATTACCAGTTTCAAGAATGAGAGGTGACATCACTATAGATTCTAGAGATACTAGAAAGAAAATAAAAATACATTATGAATAACTTTATGCCAGTAAATTGAACTTTTTTTTAAAGTAAACTGGACCTCTTAAAAGAAATAGACAAGTCAGGGGCACCTGGCTGGCTCAGTCGGAGAAGCGTGAGACTTTTGGTCTCAGGATCATGGTCATGAGTTCAAGCCCCATGCTGGGTGTAGAGATTACTTAAGTAAATAAGTAAGCTTAAAAAAAAAAGAAAAGAAATAGACAAGTCAATTATACCTCAATTAAAAAAATTATAAATAAGACATAAGTTCCTTAAAACACACAAACCACTAAAGCTTATGAAAGAGGAAATAGATAATCTAAATAAGGTAGGCCATTCGGCGTGCGCTGGCTTCTCCTAGATGGTGACGACTAAG